CCTGTTGTTTGTGCATTGTTAATCGCCTAGAAAGAGACGTTGTTGTCTTGCCTATATACTGAGATCTTTGGGGCTGACAGTCCCCAAGTGGGCATGTGAAGGCATAGACGACGTTGGTTTCTTTCAAGGCGTTCTGTTTGGTGTCTGGAGAGTTTTTCATGAGTAGGTTGGCCGTTTTCTTGTTTTTGTAGTAAATTGTCAATTGTATCTTCTGATTTTTGTCTGTAGGGATAACGTTCCTATTAATAATATCTTTCAGGACACTTTCCTCCGTTTTATGAGCCGTCGAAAAGAAGTTCCTGTAAAACAGTCTAATAGAGGGTACAAGTGTTGTGTTGGTTGACTCTTCAGAGGTTGCTCCTTCCTTTTATGACGTCTTCAACATAACCGTTAGAGAAGCCATTATTTTATTATCTATGTAGATGTTCCAAGACATATAATTTAGTTATACTATTAGCACCTCGTTTTCTCTCACTAATCTCTTTAAGGCAGACTATAGTTATTCACGTTAATTCAGTGTTTACCTGAGAGCGACTACTAATATTGGCTTCGACGAGGAGAACAAGAAGCCGGCGGCTTGTCGAAGATCCCCCCCTCATTTACCTTGATGATCTTTTTCAGCTGTACTTTAAAAGTTAACAGAGTTTTGGCATTTACGGCTTCGGCGGGATTAAAAGGGATGTACCGGCGGGATTAAAAGGGATGTACAAGAATGTAACAACTCTTGTATATATCTCAAATATCTCATAATCTCAACACCTGACCATTTCAAAATCCTATTTAGATCGTCTTGAAGTAATAATGTTTTTTTTCCGTATTCATTTCACTCCTGATTTTTATATAATCGGCAAATTTGCAAATATTGCTGCTCAAACCTGAATCTAAATCATTTATATATATATTATGAATAACAGGTCCAAGGGCAGAGCCTTCAGGCACTCCACTTACAACATTTTCCTAGTCTGACTTAACCTATCTATCATATATCTAAATATGGTAGACAACGGCTCGCAAAGTTGTTGTTGTTATAGATTCAGCTACTCGGAACAAGTTCCAAGTTACTTGGCACAGGAGCGGGGCAAGTAGCACGGGCTATGGCGAGCCCGTAGTGGAAAGGAAAGAAAGACCTGGCACAGGAGCGGTGCTGCTCGGCTTGCAAAGCTCCTCTTTGCATTCTTTAAGCATCCTTGCAAGCACTTTGTCCGGCCCTGGGGATTTGTTTGGCTTGAGCTTCACTATTTGTTTAATACCTCCTCTCTGGTAACTGCTAAACTAGTCAACCTGTCCTCTTCCCCACCAACATAGACTTGCATGGTGTAGGGCAGCGTCGGGGATTCTGCGGTCGGTACACAGATCTTGGAATACCTCAGAAAGTTGACAAGAGGATTGAAACTCTAGAAAAATTAGCTATGGCAAACAGATCGGGTGTATTGGGGAGTGTAGTGGGGAGTGCAGTGGGGTGTGAAGTGGGGAATAAAGTGGGGAGTATAGTGGGGAGTAAAGTGGGGAATGAAGTGGGGAAAGAAACGGAGGGGGAAGAAAATGAAAAAGAGGATGGCGTACCACAGATGGAAAAGTCTCAGGAAAATGAACTATCCACTAATGATGGCAGTGTTCAACCCCGTGTTGTGGAAAATGTTGACGGAGAAGCTGAGGAAAAATGGTTTACCAAAATAGAATTGGAAAGACATGCAGACGATGAGTCACAATAACGTGGCTGAAAAATATTGACCAAACCACACACTAGAATTTGAAGAGACGACGACGTTTCGGTCCGTCCTGGACCATGATCAAGTCGATTATCTTGATAATGTAAATCGATTGACAATCGACTTGATAATGATCCAGGACGGATCGAAACGTCGTCGTCCCTTCAAATTCTTTTGTTTGGTTTGGTCAACATTTTGGGACGACATTGTTAGGAATAGTTACCTTTGTTGGGACTAGATGGTGTACAAGTGCTGAGCAAGAGGAAATTTAAAAAAGTTGGGAATCTTTGACTAAGGCGATATTGCTTCTCAATGACTTAAAATGTGGAGGATGTGGACAAGGCGATGAATTATTGAACAAGAATTATCGAATTCGAACTTGTTCGAATAATCGAACAAGGCGATTAAATCAATGAATTGGCCAACAGCAGCAAAGTTAAGAGTCGGGAACACAGAGGGAAAAATGACTACATCTACTTAGCATTCCTCCCATGTTGGTGCTAAGTGTTTCTTTAGCAATGAAATACATTCTTGAAAGACATCATGCTTTGTACCATTAGAACATTATGCTTTCACATCCATTATTAATTTCTTCACACCTTGAGAGGATTAATTCCTTAGTCCCCTCGCCTCTCATTTGTCTAATCGCTGAAGCTTCTTTTATCTCTTAAATTCTATCCCCCAATACTCTGTAAGTTCAATCATTACCTCAGTAACAGTATTTCTTGAGCCGTGAGAATAATCTTGGCATTATTCTCAAGGTTTAGTCTGCCTTTACCACCACAAGACATGACAGGAGACAGGGACAATTAACATTTAATTGCCGGGAAAGGGGGGCGTCAGACGGCCGCCCCCCCCCCCTGATAGATTAAGCACTTGCCCAAAACTATGTGGCTTTACAATAATTGTAAGAACACCACTGTTATGTACTCTGACAAATCCAATGTACCTTCTTGTATATAACACAAACAAATAGATAGTAATTTCTTCGGAAGAACAATATTGGATGAGAAGGGAGGATAGTAATTTACAGGATCCCCAGGATCCTCATGAAATGAATTGTTTGTGTATTTGCTATTTGTATCCATAGGCTAAAGCTGTTAGCTCTTGGATTCCGCCTTTCTAACCCTCTGCTGTCTAATGTACTGACTCCAGACCTAATTTTCTCTCTTATCTAGTATTACACACACACATTCCCAGGATAAAGATTCAAGAGAATCTAATTCCTTTCACATCACTAATCTGATGTCTTTCTGCTCACTTAGAAAGTCCTCTGTCATATATGGTGCAATAAACCCATCTGGCCTTGTTGCTTTATATTGATAATAACTTTAGTCTCCACAAACATGTGTGCTTGGGTAACATTTAAGAGACATTCTTAATGGTTCAACTATAGACGAATGTGATAGAAATGCTACTGGATTTTTGTGGTCTCAATTCTTACCTGATCTGAAATGTTAATTAAAATGTTTTACTGGTTACTGGTACAGTAGTAGTTCTGCTTAGAGCTAGCTATACGCTACTAATTTCAATTGAATACTTTAATTCTAAAACATATTTTCATGTACTCAAAAGATCTTGAATTTATCCAGCAAGGAGTGAATGTAAATCTACAAGGAATGAGTATGGGGTGCAAAATAAATTACTAATCACAGGATATGACACTATGATATGCGTGCTCTACTTTGGGGTAAATAAAATACATGATTATTTTTCAGAATATATACTTTAATGACAAATATTTGAAAATATATTTAAAGTTGAAATATTTATCTTTAAAAAAGATAAAACCTCCTTGCATTACACAAGTATTGATGAAATATGACATATTTACCGACTATAATGATGGCATTGAATGTAGTGTTCATGTGTCCGGATACCGGCGATTATGTAGTATTATTTATTTAAAAATATAATGCCTTTCACATAAATTATATATATTACTTGAAATGTAGCTACAGTAATGTCTACATCTCTGCCTTTCTTCTGACATATAAATCTTGAAGGTTAATTAGCATATATATGCATGTTAATTAGACAATTGATTTGCTGGTGTGTAGCTCTCCACACACCCAGAGCGGGTCCATGTATTTACCCAAAGCTATATCCATAGTTATCTAGTGCTACTCCGGCCTTCTAGCATTACACAAGTAATGAAGATATATGACATATTTACCCCCTATAATGATGTTATTGAATGTATATCACACTACACACACACCTAGAGCGAGTCCATGTATAGCGAACGCATACCAGCGAATAATCATCAGCATCTATATAACAAAACTATTGTCCCATGGAGTTAATTTCACTTCCAGACACCTATTTTTCAATACAATTTCAATATTTTCTGGCTATTTATGCTAAATATTATTGTAACTATGCATTATTGTAGTTTATACCATTATTTCAATTTGTGACGACGTGTGTACAAGAGGCTGATATGCCAGCAAACGCTCTCCAGGCAAGAATCTGTCTTGGATAAGTCGCTCCACAACATTGACGCTTGGATCGTAGACTTGATTTGGCGTCACCTGCTCTTTATTTTCGTCTAATTTCTTTATAAAAAGATACTTTTTCAGATTAAAATTGTTTTTTCATGTTGTATGTTCAGCACCAACATTGTAATAAGTAAATATATCATATTTATTCATTACTAACGTATTGCCAGGAAGTTTTCTGAAGCGTGTGTAGCATGTGCTAGTTTTTGGTAATTAGACGGGTTTACAAGGTACAGTACAAGCTCTTGTACCTGGATTGGGTTTAAAGGAGTAGACTAGAGGACCTAGTATCCCACCACACAAACCGAAGGGCGAAGGAGGTGTAAGCACGAATCAACCAATGATTCCACTATAGATCCCCACCAAGTATGGAGCACAAATATGGCAGACTAAACCCCAGGGAGAATACATGCAGGTCCCCATTTACATTTTGATAATATGCCAAGGACCAACAGGGTTGCCAACTTCTCAATACCCGTTTAACCTTGACACTACTATCAGCCAGGTTCATTTGAGCAAGTCTCTAATGTATACCCCTTTCCTGCATCAGATAGGATTTATGCCCACAGGAGCTATAGCACCTTGGCAGACGAAGGGGAAGAGATTGTGTGTGTGTCCGTGCACGAAATACGATCAGCCTGACAAGAGCAGAAAATTTTCAAAAGCCACTATTGCCATGTGGATCACATATGTGTAGTATGCTAGCCTCCTCCCTTCACCACACATCAAGACTGCTCATGAGAGGGTTGAGTGCCATGTAAGTACAGTGGAGGAAAATGATCAAGGAAAATAATATACAGTAGTTTTATTGTAAAATTTCACACACATATATACAGCTTATAAGTATAACCTCAACAGCACCTTCACTGAAAATTTGGACACTTTGGTCTATTATATACTGTATATAAATGGTCAACAAGCACACAAGTGCACACACACACACACACACACACACACACCCATTAATGTCAATCTTTAAATTAGGTATTCACCTAATTTAGGTATCTGTATGGAGCTATACCCTACTTCCTAAAGCAGGAAAGTTGCAAATGCTTTGTTAAATATAACCAAGTAACTCTTGGGCTCTCAAAACATTAAGGAAAATGATAAATTCACTCATTCCCACACACCGCTCGTCCATATCACAGGCACACGTTTTCCCTCTCGCTTACACACACACACATTCATTCATCCCTCCCACATAAAATTGCAGAGACTGGTACATTCCCAGTCACTCCAGAGAAATACATTCCCACACACATTTCCCACAGTTTTCAGAGGAATTGACAGGGTGAACAAAAACTATTTAGCATGGGTGGAACACTAACACGGGGGGGGGGGGGGGAGGGTACACAGGTGGAAACTTAGTACCAAAACTTACCCAAATGAGCCACAAAGACTTTAAAAAGAATTTCAGTGTCAAGGTAGTTAACAGATCGAATGCATTAGGCAGTGATGCGCTGGAGGCTGACTCCATACACAGTTTCAAATGTAGTTATGATAGATCCCAGTAGGCTCAGGAATCTGGACACCATGTGTTTAACAGTTAAGAGGCAGGACCAAAGAGCCGAAGCAAGTATAACCCCTGCAAGCACAACTAGACAAGTACACTCCACAAAAACATGGTGGAAAGCATCGACTTAAATGAAGTTGTACCACAACAACCCAATAACAGCCACTTGTTTACTTAGTGGGCAAGCTTAGTAAATTCAAAGAGCAATCTTATTCCACCTCTATTGGAAGCTTCAGTAAATGAGATGTTAGCTCCAAATAGTTATCAAAACCAGCTGTCAAGTCCAGCAGGGAGTGCTAAATGGAAGGTACCTAAGTCGGGTAGATACTGTATATACGGTATATTACAAACATATCCCTTTCTGAACAAATCAACAAGGGCCGTGACGAGGATTCGAACCTGTGTCTGGGAGCATCCCAGACGCTGCCTTAATTGACTGAGCTACGACATGGTCAAGAGTTGAAACCGAAGTTCTGCTGAACTTGCTGGACCCTGCAGTGTATGGCAATACACAAACATCAAGAGGGTAACATTGTCAACATGTGCATGGCTGGCTAATGTTTGTGTAGCCTTCAAAAACCTGATCAGGAACCATTCAGGCTGTTTAACACTGTACCTTTGTGTTATCAATCGCAGGACGAGTATGGGGTACAAACTACCTCTCAATAAAGAAGAGTGACGTGCTCTTGAGTATAGTACTATGGCAGCAAGATATGGAGAGGGGTCTCGGAAGGAGTTCTACTACCCAAGCCCGGCATGAAACTAGGCTCTACTTGTGATAACTTGGTCCAACAGGCTGTTGCTTGCAGCTGCCCATAGGTCCATATATCCACTACAGCCCAGTTGGTCCAGTACTTCTTTCAACAACTTTTCAAATTTGTTCTTAAAGTAGTCCACCTTTGTTCCAGCACAGTACCATACAGATTCATGGAGTTTTGTCAAGTCCAATGGATTCATGTGATAAATATTATGGTAAAGTAAAATTTTTGACAGTAGTGAATGCCCCACCATAAGATCTTAGAGACATCACTTTAGAGTTTTTGTGTGCCTCCCACATGCTATTCATACACTAATCTTATGCGACTGTCAATCTAGTCGATACAGCCTCCCACTGTCTACTCTGTACAGCAGCAGCAGAAGTGTAAAGAGCAAAAAGTACCACATTTAGAGCTATATACATCACAGATTTGCTCAAAGCCAATCACAAATTTACCCCTTTCTCAATTTCATCAGGTTGAAAAGCATTGGCTCTTGAGCAAGAAACAAAAAAGCTGTGTAATAGTGAAAAGGTTTAACATTTTAAATAAAAAACTATATACACTGTAAATATCTCTCTCATTCATTCATTATAGTACAGTATTACATGTATTATATAGCATCAAAGAAACAACCACACTGCAGCACAACCCTGAAATCATTCGTAACCAAAATAAAACAATTCATAATTACAGTACAGTATTTTAATTTAAATTGCTTAAATTATAAATCTTTGCTAAAATTACACAACTGTGCTCACCCACAGAAGCAGAGATCAATCAATAAACATTCAAATCATCAGAAACTTCTGAACATGGTCCCAATTTAGTACACACTAAAGTTCATTCAACGGACGTCTGTGCAACAAGAGGCTACAAGCCATCACCAAGCACTAAATGTCTTCAAGAGAACGTTTGATATAAAATTATAAATTACAAACCCTATATAGTACTGCAAGCCAACATGTGTATCAAGTAATGAAGGCTTATTTTAATGAATGAGACAATAAGCCTTAGATTTAATGTGCAAATCTTTTGAGCAAATTAGGTTTACAACTGTTACAATTTTAGGACTACAGAATTTGCCAATATTTTGTATATCCCACTAATTCATCAGAATAATGACCATTTCAATCTAAAAATTAATATTAAGAATTATTCCAATGCTTTTAACAGCATTTATAATTTTAAAGCCTTAACTTGCTTTAGGTTTGGGTGGTTTCAAAAATCCAATTTTTCGTAGATGTCTAACAATAAAAGGAGTGGCGGTAAGTGTTATAGCTATACGTGCTGGAGCAAACACCTTATGCACAGCATATGCCACTACAAATGTGGCAGCCCCTGCTGCTCTCACAGTGTTCAAATCTACGGCACTTCTACACTGTTAGCACTACCAGCTACTTCAGCGGCAACAGCCTCTGCCACGTCTCCCCGTTGAAGACTTTCTGTGGCTGCAACCTCGCCAAGAGGTTCCTCTGGTGCAGCTGCAATGGAATGCCGAAGTTTCACAACCCACAGCAGCAGCAGCTCCCTCGGTCACCCTTCCTATGTTGATGCCTAAACTCTTTATCAACCCCGTCATATCTACTCCACTGAAAATAAAGAAAAAATAAATTAAATAAACAGGTCCAATATTAAGGTCAAGACTAGTACAAACAGCTGCCACCCAGCCTAGCTCCACCGTTAACATGTTCTAACACAATAGATTTTGCACGAAAGGCAGACTAAGTCTATGCTTTGAAGTATGGAGTACAAGGAAAAAAAAATGGAGAAAATACTGTACATCAAGTATATTAAGAATTTTAATTCATTCTAAATTCTGTTGTTGTAGCCTGTCAGAAAATGTTACACACAATCTTGTACACAATGTATTTTATATAGCACTAAGCAGCAGTGTGCCAGTGGAACCACACTGAACCAACAACTCGGCTAACAGACTATTTTAAAGTAGATGGTGAACAAGTGGTTTTACTGATGCTATACATAGAATCTTTTTTTTTTACCAATATCTTTACAAACTGAAATAAAATCAAATTCTTTAGCTTCACTTCATAACATTACACTAAAATTCAACCAATGTGTGTGTCACCCATAAGGATTCCTTTTACACAATGCCACATGTCATCAAAATGTATCAGGAAGAGCTCAAAAGTAGTACAGTACTGTACTCTGAGAAGCCTGAAGATAACTGTTCATGGTTGTAACTGAATGCATCGAGCCTGAACAAAGTCTTCTCATTCCAAGCATAAAACAAGAAGGAAATGCACAAGAGCATCTCCTGATAAAACAAGCCAAGACCAGAAAGCTAGTAAACGTACTTGCCTGAAAGTTTGAACAATGTACTAATGAAAAAACTAACCATCTAAAGAGGCACGAATCTGAATTGTCCACGACGAAGGACAGGCACGTTATCAAATGCCCAAGTGGGCATCAACAGCACACAGCAATGATTTGCTTTTTTAAAAAGGCTGCCAAGCTTCAAAGACAACTAGAAAAATCTAGCCAAAAATCAAGATGTAGCTCTACCAAAGCAATTATATATGATGCAATGGTGTTGAGCATAAATTGCTGAGCCATGTAAAGAAATAAAAATAAGGAACATGGGAGCTGGCACACACCGAAATCAGGAGCCAGGGCTGAACTGGCCATAAGAAAGTAAGGTTGTCCCTGGATGAAACCAAAGCTGAAGGTGGCTAACAAATTTTATTAATGGAGAAATAAAAAATTGAGGGGTAAAGCTAAGCCATAGTGGCACCACCAAGGTGCCATTATAGGATGTAGTAACAGTCAGAATAAGCCACTTGACCAGACAAGGCCATAAGAAAAAAATAAGCAAAGGAACAAATAATGTACTTAGAGAGAGAGAGAGAGAGAGAGAGAGAGACCTATGAAAACATACTCCCCTATAGTACTGTGAATCAATTTGGCCAAGAAACAACACTAGGATCAGAAAACTGCCCAGGAAGCCATAAGATACAGACACCCAAAATCCTAAGCGAGGAGAAAGACAAGGAAGGGAACCAAGTTGGGACACCAAGGAGGGCCAAGAGAAGAATCTGGAACAAAGAAAACTGAACGTGACACCCATTGGTACATAGTCAATCCAAGATGATGCACAGCACCGTCCTCATGGAATGGGGATACACAGACTGGGGCGCGCACACACTTGCATGCACAAATTTGCAGTCTCGTTCAAATTCCAACAGATCCACACTGAATACTAAAGTCAAATGGTTACTAAAATAAGGTTTCTACCACCAACACAAGCCAAGATTCAAAAGAGGTCATCCAGTAATGCACACGACACGCAACAAATGGGAACAGAGGGGAGGACCAAATTATAAGAGGCCAGAAGAGAACCTATGTCCAGTGCCCAACACCACAATACTAGGGACATAGGAAAAAAAGAAGGCGAGATGGGAAGGAAGGCACCAGCAGAGAGCCAGCCAATGAAAGAAAACACAAACCTTGCAGAAATGCAGGAGAAAAAAAAAAAAAGTAATGAGAGTTTCCAAGATGCACTATAAAGCACCAGAACACAGTAAAATGCCATGAAAGCCTACTGCCCAGGAAGAGCACTACACAGTTCCAAGGTGCTGCTACACATTGCAAAGCAACAGGACATACTACCTGCAGCACAGTTTTGGAGGTTTGTAATGTGCTTCACCCTTTTTGTCAAGCACCGAAATGAAAAACTGTCTGCAAGATAAATCTCGTGCCCTTCACCGAAGAAGATGAGGCCTGGGTGCAAAGGCAATCTCTCACCTCAACATATGGGTACACAGAACAGGGGTACACACATTGTTCGTACACGAAGAAAACCGTCGACTGTTTAAATAGTCTATTCTACTGTTGCCACACACAGTCTCCAGACCTCTATAATCAAGTCCACTCAGTTTTAACAGAGCAACACGCTTCACGAGGGATCCGAGTCCCAAACTGCCAAAGGTTATGAGGGCAGTACCTGGGTTTTTCTTCAAGATGATGGTAGAGTGGTGGTGGTCGAGGAGGTCACCAGAGACATACTTGTCATCCTGGGCCCACTGACCACCAAGCATGTTTAGATGAACTGGGACCTTCCCTGAAATTCCATAAGGCTTGGGGACATTTGCTTGCATCACCTGAAAAGATAAAAAAAATTTAATTAAACCAGAATGAAAATACAGTTTTCTCTATGCAGGCGATGAGTCACAATAACGTGGCTAAAGTATGTTGACCAGACCACACAATAGAAGGTGAAGGGACGACGACGTTTCGGTCCATCCTGGACCATTCTCAAGTCTATTGTGATGAGGGAAGGTGGTGAAGGAAACGTTTTAACAAACATGACCTAACGTAAGCTTACCCTTCCATTTATCTTTCTCTTTCCTTTTTCTGTCCCATGTTTTCTCTTACGATCCCTTTCTCATTCCTATTCCTATCCCCTTTATTACACATTACCTTTCTTTTTCTTCCTCTAAGATTTTCTTCTCGCCTCTCTCTCGCCTATTTATTGCCATTCCCTCCTTCCCTCATCACAATCGCTTTGAGAATGGTCCGGGACGGACCGAAACGTCGTCATCCCTTCACTTTCTATTATGTTGTTTGGTCAACAAGTATTTCATGCTTCATTCAAGTGGGGAATGGATGCAAAGTAGTGGTTGGAAAGTGGGGGTGTGCAAGGCTTAAATGGCAATGTGGATGTCTTGGTGGGTGTGTTCAGAGACAAGTTTGTTCCTCTCAAATGCCTTTTGTGGGCATCGAGTCATACATGGAGGTGAAGGGAAGGTGATAAACTGAAGTGATTTGATTATGTGAAGAAAGAAGTGTATGAAGTGAAATATGCACGAGAAGCTAGAGAAATTTTTGTGGGTCAAGATCAATATGCAATGCTGTGCAAAATTTGTGCAAGTGGGAGGTATTCCAACCAGAACCAGTGTGAAACAAGTGTCTATATTTAAGTTAAGAGATGGTAAAAGACAAATAATAATTAGGTAAAATATTAAATAATGTAAGGGAAAATCACCATTTAACATTATTGGGAACAGAAACCCGTTTGACTTGTGTAAAAGTCCATATAACCCTACTAACATATCCCAGAATGCAACCTCCAACACTAATTCCCAAAATGAGCCCAAACACCACACTGCCAAGGAATCGAACCCAGGACCAATTTTGCAGGCTAACTGCATTTTATTTTTTTGTGACACATTTCTGGATTCATCATATGCACATTTTTAGGTTAAGTATCACTATACTTAACCATTTATACTTAATGTTTCACTCAAGTATAAATAATTACCCTTGGGCATTTCATATCACCAGTATGAAAACCTTAGTTTAATTGTATTTTTTATTTTCCTGAGCTTACATTTTGCCACTCAGAATATCTGTTACACTATGCTCTCAAAGGTCACAAGAATTGTGTAGCAAGCGATATGCAGTTCACCTGCTCATCATTCCATTACACCATATAGATAATGGATACCCACTATGTAGTTTTTATAACCTAAATTAGCATGGCTCATTAGCTAAACTAAAGTACAATAAATGTACATGAACATTTATGAATATTAAATTAAAAAAAATGTTAAACCAGTACCACCCAAATCTTTTGACTCGTCTGCATCCAAATAGGTCTTTTCCCAAAGGCATTTGCATATGCCTGGTTGTGGTGTACCAAAGTAATACAAGGATATTCACATTTAAGGAAATGAGGAGTGGTGCCCAATTTACCATGTAGTATTCATCCTTTAAATATTTTTGAATTTTAAATAACTTATTAAAAAACAAAAAAAAGCTTCACAGAGATGCCTTACTGCATCATTATGTTGTGTATAACTTTCTTAACTTTCCCAAAAATAAACTTTCAAACAAGGACTCTTCAAATATAAATACTTACTACATGGTTCAGTTCTATGTGGTGTCTAAGGAATGATTATTATATACAATAAGGATCTTACTTTAGGTATAAATCAAACTCACCGAAGACAAAGAAACTGTGATGCGTGCATCATAAACATCAACGTGAGAGTCAACAGGCAGTGTTCCACGGTTGTAGGCACTCTGTGACCCTTGGTTGCCCATGAACCCTGAGCTAAACAAGCTGCCCACTTGGTTCAACTGTGAAGAAACATCTCTGTTGCGACGAGGAGAGAAACGTGCCTGCAAAAGAGAAAGAAAATTACCAAATACCTGTACTTTTATTCAATTACAGCACAGCACAGTTCCTATGTTATTCATAAACCTATTTTTCCCCCTCTCCTACAATTTATTGTTGAATAATAAAATTATCAGAAAGCATATACCTTTCCATATGGGAAAATTACCCTTGAACCTAGGGCTTTGACCTGCCTGGGCACAAAAATTGCAGTAGGCATTTTCTGTCCTCGTTAAATGCAAAGGAAATAAGTTTAAAACCATGAGAATGGAAGGTTAAAAGTTAAGAGAGAAAAATGTTCAATGTGCAAGGTTCATATGAGAATAAAAAGTGGAAGTATAAAAGCAGGAGTAAGAGAATTAGAGGAGTAAGGAGAGAGTTGGCTTTCTAATGAAAAAGTAACCTGAAGAATTAAATGGCAACTAATACTGTAGTTGTCAAACTAATACAAGCTTCATGGGCTTTGTAGGTATGTGAATGAAATTTTAGTGATTGGTCATTAGGTTTGCTCAAGTGAAAAACAAAGACTTTATGATACTTTGGAATGCTAGGCTTGCATTATACCAAAACGTTACAATAATTATTATTACTTTTGACATTTACTCTAGTTAAGTGGGACTAGGCCTCAAGTGACATGATTGGTATACAAATAAACAATGACTGTTGTACAGTAATTAAATGTTATATATTACAAATCAAATTTTCAGGCATTAGGAAATGCACAACAAGAATGGGGACAGACAGGAGGTACTAAATTACAGACCAGTGTCAATAACAAGTAAATATAAAGTGCTGGAGACTAATCGAGAAGAGAATAGTGAGCACCTGGAAAGACTAAACTTTTAGTAACAAAATGTCAGCATGGACTGAGGAGGAGGAAGTCATGCCTAGCAAACCTGATTGAATTTGAAATCTACCCAGGAAAGATGTAATCTGGGTAGAATGCATTTTCCTAAACTGTCAAAAGCATTCGATGTTGTTCCACACAAAAGACTGGCGTAAAAGATGGAAATGTCAGCTGGGGTAATTGGGAAGGCACTAAACAAAGTAAGGGAGTACCTGAAGTACAGAAGGCAAAACGTCAAGAGGCAAGGTCTCAAGCAGGAGAAATATAATAAGTAGGATCCCCCAAGGCTTGGTCCTGGGACCACTACTGTCCTTAACTTGTATTAATGAGCTACCCAAGAGTGTGTGTGCTCATATATGCTGCTATTTGCAGATTCTGTAAAGCTAATGAGGAATGTAATAATAGAGAACTGCAAAATGTTGCAGGACCTTTACAAACTCCAGGAGTGGGAAAACATACTGGTAGTTGATGGAGTTCAATCCACTAAGTGTAAGGTAATGAGGATGGGGAAAAGGAGAAAAGACCAGAAGATGTTTATAACCATAAATGGGAAGCAACTACAGGAATTCGAGTAAGATTTGAGAGAGGATATAATTTGAGTCCAACAATATCACCAGAGGCACACAAAGGTAGGGTGGCTTTGGTAGCATATGGGATGCTGGTGAACACTAGTAAGTAGCTTAGAAACCTAAATCAGGACTATTTCAAAGCAATCTACACAGCTTTTGCTGCTGGAATATGCAGCATTGGCCTGAAATACACACCTTGTCAAATAAAACTAAAATTTAAAAAGTGCCAAGGTTTGCAAAAGATTAGTTCCAGAGCCAAGATGCTTAAGCTAGAATATGTTGAAGGAGCTTTACCTCATAACCCAGGAGGACAAAAGAAACAGAGGAGATATGATCACAACATACAAGATACTGAAGGGAATAAACAAGGTGAACAATGATAGCCTCTTTAAATTGAGAAAAAATAGGACAAGGTAATTATGTAATTATCAGGAGAAAGTAGCAAGCCTTTCTAACTATACATTAGAGGACAAGTTTAAGCTGGTAAACAAAAAAAACAAAAATAAAAAGTGCATGGAAATACTCATACAGGTTGTCAACAAGTGAAATGCACAGAGAGAAGATGAAGTGGAAGCCACCTCCATCCACAACTTTAACAGCAGATTCGACAAAGAATGCGATTGTCAGAATAGTTCAACTATAATGCAACAAGTACAGCACAACAAGGCTAGTAGGCAGGGCATTCCCTTTGTAGTCAGAGAGCCAAGCACTGATAGGCAAGCACAAATGTACTTTATGTTGTGAAGTGATACACGGGTATAAAAAGGCCAATAGGGTGTGTTCCTGTGCAAAGATGCATTTTAAATTACATACAGAACAACCCCAATTACCAAGTCAATCTGTACCTTCAAATGTTCAATGTGAAAATTGGGTGGTTACCGGGCATATTTTTATATATTCTCGATTCAATAAACTTCAATTCAAATTTCTTTCATTTAGAAATGTGCATTTTGGAGAAGAAATTCAGTAGGTGGATTATTTTATAAAGTTCTCAACAATATTATAAAATCATACATGGCTGAAAGAAACTAGCCAATCTTTTATACTATTAACTATTGTAATCCTTTTTATAGGGTAGTCTTTATAAATACAGTACTTCTCACATCTGTCGAGTTAATTGAATGACACCCTTAAATTCTCCCATGTCTTCAACATACTGTACCTTTTCCGACGCCTGAAGCTCCTCTACGTTTGCTGGCATGGGTATGTGTGATGGTTGAAAACTGGTCATTCCACTCGCTGCCTGATGCATCTTTTGCTGTGGTGGTTGCTGCTGCTGTTGTTCTGGTAAAGGAAATCTTCAATGTTACATCCCACTAGATGTATAGACACTCATTCTTTGCACAAACATTTATTATATGATGGGTATATGTTAGAAAATATAATGGATTGTCGTGGTCCCCTTAAAGCCATACTCGTTCAATTTTTTGCCAGACCCATTAAAGCTTAACCTGACTAATAAATGCTGCACACATCTAGAGCCTGGCCCCAGGCCTGGCTCGGGGAGTAGAAGAATTCCCGAAACCCTATCCAGGAACTTCTGCTAGAGCATGCTAGCAGAAGTTCCTCAAACCTTTCACTCTATTAAAGGTCTCTGCCCTTTTTTTTTTTCCATAAACCTTTCCACTGTTCCCTTCTAAGCAACTGTCGTCTGCCTACTGTATGATCCTTTACCATATTTCACCCTTATTTACCATTGGTAAATGATCCTAAGGTATTTTACCATGTTCTTACCACCACGGTGTATTGCACTTCACTTGCTCCACAATTCATCCCCCCCCCCACACCATGTTATACCATTTCACTACCATAACCATGCCACATGGTTATGGTAGACCAGCCAATTCTCAAAATCATAATTACCATAGCTTGTAGTCTTTAGCACTACCCCTATCCATAAGAAAGGATAAATTCCATTTGTCACAACTGGGAGTAGAATATTACCCCACAACATTCCTACTTTCATTATATTCTTCACCTTTCATACCACTCTTCTATTCATTATACTCTTATTGTACCTACCATACAGTACTATTTTCCAAATTGCCCCATAGAATTTGAATCTTGCTACTGTACCTCTCCTAGTATGTCATCCTATATTTTTATCCTACAGTTCAAATAGCTTCTCGGCCAAACACATCCCCAGACTTCACAGTTGAACAGCAAAAGAACAAAGAACCGAGACAAACTAAAGGAGTTACACACAGGCCAGTACTGTACAGACAAAGTTAAAAACAAGGATTGGGCAGGTGATCATGACAGTGGATGGAGGAGAGGATTCACCCAGTCAGGCAGACCTAACCCTATAGATTTGTCGACAAGCAGGCACAATAACTATAGTATGTATGGAATAATAGTATGCAGGAGCAATCTTACATGCCCCTAGGAACAATGTCAGGTGTTTAAACTGCTTCTACACAAATACCAGAAGCCTAGTAAATAAATTACACATTGTGTGCATACAGAGGCCGAGAATCCTGACTCTTTTAGGAAGTATTATCATAAACATATTAATGTATTTGTCACCAAGTTAGTGAGGATTACCGTTTTGTTAGAATACAATAGGTTGGCGAAATTGCATAGGAGTGCCTCTCCAAGTTAGTAAGGGGGAGTGACTCCACCAGTGGAGTGGTTAGTTTTGAGAGACAGGATGTGTCAGCTAGTCAAGTAGATTATTTTGCTGGGTGTTATAAATGTGACAATTTTAGATCTGGTATACAGTGATTAATTTTATTACAATTTATGTTATCAGTGATCAAGTGCTGGTTCAAGTTTTCTTTATTATGTTATTTGCTTGTCCATTTCATGCAGTATATTGACGGGCCACCTCTTTAATGAACAAGTGTTCAATTCATCTTACTGCTAGCAGTTGGGGGAAATAGGCCAGCAAGAAGTTTAGAAGCTGTTATCAGGTCCACAAGGATTACAGAATGTGAATGTTAACCATTTTACAGCAAGGGTAGACCTTGAAGTCTTCCAGGGATGAACATGATGATTAAAATACTTGGAGACATGATGATTAAAATACTGAACAATTTGAAGGATGTTGATCTGCAAATTTTTTTTTTCAAAAGGTCAGATGTAACAAGGAACAAGGGTTGCGGTTACAAGCTCAAAAAGCCACACTGCAAGACCGAGAACGGGAGATGCTTTTTCCACCTGCAGGGTTATCAAGGCATGGAACCACCTACCTACCAAAGCCATAAATGCCAAAACTACAAAAATGTTAGCTTTTAAAGTACAACTGGAAAAGATAAAGGCAAAAGGGGCGAGGACCTTGAACAAGCTGCCGGCTTCCTGTCCTTGTCAAGGCCATTAGCTCTCCGGCAAACAGGTAAACACTTCTCTTGCACACATTGAGATCATAATGCTACCGAATAGTTTTAAGACCACAACTTTGAACATTTACTACAGAGATTTTCAGTGACATAATTCATATACAATAATTTGTATTTTTTTTAACATTTAAAACAAAAAAAATCAGGTACATGCTTTCTAATTTTTACAAAGTCGTGCATGTAACTTTTACATTCTACCTTTTATGTGCTTGCAGAAAAATTAATTCTTAACTTATACAATTCAATATCAACAAATGATATTGAAGCCTCACAAAGAGACCTACACGATCTCCATAAATGATCAGAAGACTGGCAAATGCTCTTTAATATAAACAAATGCAAGACCTTGCATGTGGGAATAACAATGATCATCTTGACAACCAAATTAACAACATTACCTTGCAGCAAATTGATAAAACACACCTTGGAATCAGGACCCATCATTCAGTGAAAGTTAAATGATGGATTCAACTATCAATCTTCCCGGCCCTGACTCCGGGAAGTCAACCAAAATAAGTTTAGTTTGTTGAAACGTGTGTACGATCTGACCATTACCTTCACCTTGCTTGCTTCCTCTCAAGGACATTAATATAGTGTACAACCATAGTTCAGACTAAACTATTTAGACTCACTAGAACAATCTGTACCTAAACAATCCACTCTTCTACCACACAGTGTTTATCATACAGAGTAATGTAAAATGACTCTTCATCCGGTCCCCAAGGTTGGTCAGGGTCACCTTCTCTTGTTGTCAGGCTGGTGTTAACCGACCCTTGGATGACCTCATTGTGTCCCCCTTGCACGATATAACGCCAAATGACACACCTATACATACACAACTTACAGAAGGACGAACAGGTAAGTTATAACAGATAACAACACGGTGATATAAGAGGTTCTTACCTGCAGAGAGTGTGTGCTTGTGTCTGGCTCCTGCTGACACCACGCGCCCGGCCCTCACACCTACCACCATCACTGACATCTTCCAACACTCACAACTAAACGTTACTGTAGCAAGAGAGGACTTGTACTGTTGGCTAGTAGAGTGTATTACTGGTGCAGCGTAATCCTTCCCTCGGGGCGGCTCAGTGTGTTGTGGTTGACAAGTGTCTGGTGGCCAGCCTTTTAAACACGCCAGGTTGCCAGAGCCAAGTTGCTGAAAGTAGAGGGCTGACGCTCTAAAAGTAGCGAATTTGTATCATAAGAGTAGCCCAATTTTTTGTTTAGTGATTGATACGGGTTTTAAAGTAATCTATTTTGATATATAGAGTACATTAAAGATTTTAATTGTTTTATTAATATTTTCTCTGCACATATATATATATATACACCCATTATGCTTCACTAAACTGAGAAATAAACTGAAATATATAGTTAATATATTTAACCAATATGATAATAGGATAACTTACCAATATTTACTGTTTGAAGCCTAATGGGTGTGGAGTCCTTCCACGTCTTTACAGTTGAAGATTATCAAGATCTTGATCTGCATCCACAACCTCGTTCTTGTATATTGCAGACATATTTAAGCATTGACATGAGTGATTCAAATGACGAGCAACAAGTTACATTTTCTTCAAGATATGTTTTGATTCTCAAGATTGATGTCAAAAGCTCAAGTCCCATTCGATTTCTCAGTTTAGTTTTCACAGACGTTACTCTTGAAAATAGGGCATTACTGATTTGTAAGCTGTATATTTTCAATGCAAACTCAGCGAGGTCAATCAGTATGGGATCGCCAGCAGCGTTCTTGACAGTTATTGTCTTGGTCTAAAATGACGCTCCAGATGTTGGAATTTGTCCCTCACAAATGTTGGACCAGTCAATGGTTAACAGTAGGCGCCACTGACTTTCAAGTTCACTAAGCTTAGATTGGTCAGCTAATACTTATGGAAGTTCTGAAAATGGTGGCCGTGTGTGGCTAAGGCATATGATAGGTAACAGATTTTTCACCCTTTTTAAAGTTTCAACATTACTTAGAATACGAGAAAGAAGCTATTTGCAAGCTTTCATTGAAAAATTATCGCATCTTTCTTTAATATTTTGAAACTTTTCCTGGGTTATAAAATTGTTTTGTCTGTTAGTGACCCGAAGTGTTGAAAATTCGTAACCAAAGTCAACTTTTTCCAGGGGCAGATACATAGAATTGTAGTCCAAATTAGCATGAAGCTTTGCATGATGAGGATGAACACACAAAGGGATGAGGTAGCTCAAGCTATTCTCACCCCGTTCAGTACATCGTGTTAATACATACATAGACACACAACTGAGTATTCCAAGAGTGAAGTTTTCTAAGACAGTGTGAAGGCTACACTGATCTGCTTCATCTTTTTTATAAAGTCAGTTTATCCTTTCAAATCCAATCATTCAGTTCATCCAATCATTTAGGATTGGTTTGAGACATGTGAAATATAGCTTATTGGAGGGATCAGCGTACATTGAAAATAGTTGCCTTGCAACATATTTATCACAAGAGGAAAAAGCTATTTGGAAATAAGTTGTTAAAGAATCCCTCTAATCTAACAGCCGCTTTACACTACCGCTCCTTGCCAACCATCGTCTTCCTGACAAAGGTATTAACGGGTCCGTCTAATTACCACAAGCTACACAAGCTTCACAAAGCTTCAGAAAGCTTCCTGGCAATACGTTAGTAATGAATAAATATGATATGTTAGGTTAGGCTGACCTAACCTAAACTAACCTAACCTAACCTAAACTAACCTAACCTAACTTAAACAAACCAAACCTAACCAAACCTAACCGACGCTTGGATCATCGACTTTATTTGGCGTCACCAGCTCTTTATTTTCGTCTAATTTCTTAATAAAAATATACTTTTTCAGATTAAAATTACGTTTTCTCGTGTTGTACATTCAGCACCAACATTATAATGAGTAAATATATCATATTTATTCATTACTAACATAAGCTTTGTGAAGCTTGTGGTAATTAGACGGACTGGTATTAACTGTAAGGGATCTTTCCCATCATTTATCAATCTGTAAATTTCTAGATAACCTTCTCCCCTTAATGAAGATCTGTGGAACCAGGTGTAGCTTTTGGGATGAAGTATTAATAACAATTAAGGTTGGGAAATCTATGGCCCGTGGGGAGGATTACCTTGCCTTGCAGTTACTTTTTCTTTCGAAGGTTCCTAGGATCAATGTCCTCAGGGGGCCGGTCTGGGACCAGTCGGGTAAGTCAATCAGGCTGTTGGACGCGGCTGTGATTTGTACACATTATATTATTAAAGCATAAATAATCATCATTGAGAGTCTTAATATTAATAGTCCAAAGTAGCCTAACTTGCTTTTAAACTAGCCCAAAAACTCGCAAGTAGCGAAATGAAAATTTTGGAAGCGCGGGGCTCTCAAAAGTAGCCCAATTCGCTACTTGTAGCCCAATCTGGCAACCCTGAGGCAACACACTTGCCATATACTCTCACTAAACCATTACTAATCTTCTTTTAACGTTTAATCTTCATCTCATCCTCCGCAAAACTTAAGACCTACACAGTGGTATTCTAACCATAATTAATAATAATAACAATAATATACTTATCAAGGGGATTAAAGCTTAAATGAGTTTGTCCAAATACAATTGGGCACTCGACGCCAGTGGGATCGTGACGTCATTACCCTCATGGCCAATTCTTGGCCCTAGTAACCCACTAAATGGGTTTATAGACTAAAATGTTAATCTAAACACAGTACCCCTCGAGTATGCTAATTTGACCCTCAAGTATGGTGATTTGACCCCCACGCGTAGGTTGAATTAGGGGTCTCGACATACCTATAGTTTTTTTAAGTTTAGTTCATTTATTATTCACCCCATACCCATCTTGTGGGCGGTAGTGGAAAGGGTTACAGAGGCACATAATGGGATAAAGACTGATGAAGATTAAGCCACCCAAAAGGTGGCACGAGCATGAATAACCCGTAAGTGGTGGCCCTTTTGAGCCATTACCAGTATCAACTCTTGATACTGGAGATCTGTGGAGGATAGAGAAGTGTGGTCTAGTTCTTTATATCCCCGTCTACTAGCATTGTTGAGTTACTGTACTCGTTGCGTATAATGATGTCGCATAATGTGACCCAAATTGTAGATGTGAATAATTTCTCAGAGTACGGCAACGGAAGTGTTTATATAAGCATGGATGAGTATGTATGGGTCTCTGTGTGGAAGCAAACTGGGCAAAGGCATCTGAGACGCCAGATGTCAGTGAACTCTAGTGTCGCCAGTCATGGGAGCCAGCCGGCACCACCTGTGACACAGGCAGGGGGTACTTCTAGGGCACCAGTGGTGGCTGAAAACTAGAGCTGGAAGCAGTCTTGCCCGCAAGAGTAGCCGTGGGCAGCGGGCAGGCTACAACAGTCAAGGAGCACGTGGACACAGTTTAACTCCTGCTCCACCACGGTACTCGCCTGCATGGGGCACAACAAAGTACCAACAGAACCAGGGTACCGGTAGATGGTATGCCCGGGGAATGGGGTACACAAGCTGCAGGTAATGTACCCCCATCACCGGGAAAGAGAGTACACTATTACCTAGTATCCCAACCCGTCCTCTACTCAAGACCATTACATCCAGCGGTCGACCCCACAGACGCATTCATAAATTTGTACATGCTGTTCACTCAAATGGGGAATCTAATCAAATATAAATTAATATTATAATATATTAGTAGATTGTGTATATATAGGCATAGGTTAGGTTAGGTGTTTAGGTTCTGTTGGCGATTATTTGTATTTGTAGTACGTGGGAGAAGCATTTACAGCGTTGTGGTTCGAACAAAATTCGTCAGTGAGGCACTTGTTCCGGAAGTGTTCGAACGAAATCAGTTGTGAGTCGTGTGTAAACAGTTTTTCATTCATAAACAGTTGGGGGGTTTGGCGGGTGCATGGAATCACTTTTGGGTCTTTGTTTGGAGGACGGGCTGATCCCGGTAGTACAGTCGGGTTCGTTCTCGACTCATATTCGAGAATTCCGGGTTCGAATCCTGGCCGGACTGAAAAGGGTGGGTGCCTATCACCTAATGCTCCTGTTCACCTAGCAGTAAATAAAGGTACTCAGGAGTTTGTCAGCTTGTTGTGGGGTTGCATCCTGGGCGGGGATGCAACTGCTGTCAATCTCCTGTTGTTAGGTATCAGCCTGACATCTAACCCTAACACACTGCGGCTCAGGATGGACACGGAAGCACCTGGGTCCACCAAGGTGGTATGTATTGTGCCATGTAACCGTAATTTCACCTTTATGGGTTGGTGTGACCCCCTCCCCCGCACGCCACCTCCTACCGTACACACTTGGCAATTAAGTGGGAGAAACAACTTACACTGCCAGGCCAAGTGACCGCCGTCACCACACAGCTTACACACCAAAGAGTCAAAGCTCAACCCCCGCAAGCACAATTAGGTGAGTACACCAAAGTCCTCAAGGAAATTGACAGGGTAGACAAGGATGGGTTATTTAACACGGTTGGTACACGCACAAGGCGACACAGGTGGAAACTGAGTACCCAAATGAGCCACAGAGACATTAGAAAGAACTTTTTCAGTGTCAGAGTAGTTAGTAAATGGAATACACTAGGAAGTGATGTGGTGGAGGCTGACTCCATACACAGTTTCAAATGTAGATATGATAGAGCTCGAGAAGCACAGCAGTCTGTACACTAGTAGATTGACGGTTGAGAGGCGGGACCACAACCCCCGCAAGTACAACTAGGTGAGTACACACACACACACACACACACACAGTTTGATAGTTTCACCTCATTGTGCTTCACTCACACTGTATCTTGTGCTACCCACTCACCCAGTATTAGTACTAACGACATTCAACTTCACCAGAGTAATCAGTACCATCAGTTATGTAATCAGTACCATCAGTTATTATGTTGAACTCAAATTTTGCTACAATATACCTATTAAAATCTTACCTTATCTGTTAGCTTAAGGACCTGCCCGAAACACTATGCGTCTTAGTGGCTTTACAAGAATGTAAGAACAATGTTATGTACTCTCACAACCCAATGCACCTTCTTGTATTTAAATAAATAAAATAAATAAATAAACATACGTTTCCTTCAACCCCCCCCCTCCCAGGCCGGTGCCACATGCAGCCAACAACAGCTGCCTGGGAGGCCAATGACCCAGATCTAAGTGCTTGAGTATAATCTCCCTCTGCGTGGCTAAGTCTTTACCAAAATGCAGATCCTGATATATTAATGGTTGATTGTGGTTTAATGGTCTTGTTAGGCCCGTTGATCTTACTTTTTTTAGGTTAGGTTAAGTCGGATTAGGTTAGGTTTGGGTGAGTTAAGTTAGAATTGGATTAGATTAGATTATGTTTGTTTTAAGAATAGCGATGCCATACTTTGATCAGGTCTTAAATCCTATCCTGTGTGGGATCAGCCCGTTCCGACTAATCTTACAAAACACAGATGATATTTGAACGTGATCAAGGAACACCAGTCTGTGGCATGATGTGTTCTCAGAAAGTCGCCCATAGAGCAAACCTTTCCTCATACTTTATGCAGATTACATGTAGCATAATGTTTTTACACTATCGACCCCAGCGTAAAAATTCCTGTGGTTTAGGGACATTAAACCCACCACAATATCGACGTTTCATAGATCTAATGACGTATTCCGGCAGATTAGGTGGGTAGCCTAGGTTTTGACGCTTCTAGCTAGGCAAAAGCGTTGCATTTTTTTGCGGAGTTGTACTCGCGAGTAGGGGTAAATAATCACTCCTCGGCAGCTAGGATACAGACAGTAATAGCAGGCTTGGCACAGTCACATCTTCGGGAATGGCACCTGCAGCGTTTTGGCACTTTCCCAGGGCACGCCGAGACCACATGGAGACTTTCAGGTCACTTGGTAGGCACGTGGCTTCCTACCAGGGCACGTAAAGAGCATGTGGCATTTTTTACGGCGGTCATGATGGGCATGTGGTCACTACCAGGTTGACCAGGTCATCACATTATGGGCATGTGGTCACTAACACATGCCCATCAAGTCTTAATGTGGTCACAAGTAGACCCATCAAGCTAAGAACTGACCCATCACGATAAGAAGAACTGACCCATCACGATAAGAAGAACTGACCCATCACGATAAGAACTGACCCATCACGATAAGAAGAACTGACCCATCACGATAAGAACTGACCCATCAAGATAAGAACTGACCCATCACGATAAGAAGAACTGACCCATCAAGATAAGAACTGACCCATCTACGTGACAAACAGCTGAGCCATCGATATAGACACCACAGGTGAGAGGGGTCAATGGGTGTGTGGAGGTTGGGTAGCAACACCGGTGTGAGGAGTGCGGGCGTGGGGCAGGGGTGGGATGGGCGTGGGGCAGGGTGGGGTGGGCGTGGGGCAGGGGTGGGATGGGCGTGGGGCAGGGTGGGGTGGGCGTGGGGCAGGGTGGGGTGGGCGTAGGGCAGGGTGGGATGGGCGTGGGGCAGGGTGGGGTGGGTGTGGGGCAAGAATAGGGTGGGCATGGGGCAGCACACGTGCCCAGCACCACAGCTGGTCGTGTTGTCAGCTGCCAACTGGCAAATATATCCTGAGCACAGTGCTGAATTTTATTTGCGGGGGGTATGGGGATGAACTACGGCTCTTGGGTCCCGCCTCTCAAACCTTAATCAACTGGTCTATAGATCTAGAGACTATTTAAATTGATCTCCTAGGGACTGTTAGGCTTCACGAGGTACGTCGAGGATGTAACCAAGAGAAGTTCACAACTCTCAGGTACACAGTTTACTGCTGGTGGATCACAGGCCTTATCTGTCCCTGTGTTCCCGTGTACAGATGGGTCCGTCACCTGTGTCGTCACGTCGCGTTTTAAATGGAATGGTCCATTCCGTAAGAAATGCAACATATTAGCTGAGAGAACAGGTTTGAGTCCAAAAATCAGCACGATAAGGGATAATTATTAAATAACAAAAATGTGGGAAAGGAGATAGAGCGATAGGGTAATCTTATCACAATAAGTAGGAGAATCATAGACAAACACGCGACCATCATCAGTAGCAGCTGGGGGTCCCACACACAGGAGCAGCAGTACCCGGTAAGACTAGGCTAACTTTACCTACACTCGCTATGGAATTTCTCCCTTGTCGAGGACACCAGGCCTATGCTTTGGCCCTTAGGTCTATCGCTATCTTTTCTCTCTCTGTCACACACAGTGTACTCCGGCTGGTCATGGTTAAATATAATATAGGGTTAAATAAAATAGGAAGAACGATGTTAGTGAGCCACCGAGGCAGCAGCAGAGTATGAGTAATATTACTAGTAATACAAGGAGTGCAACTTGACCTGCAACATATATTTCTATCCCCAGGAGCTACCCAGCGGACCTGACTCATCCCTCGCCATGGCCAGCCGGAGAGCGGTGAGTACACTGTGTGTGTGTGTGTGAGAGAGAGAGAGAGAGAGAGAGAGAGAGAGAGAGAGAGAGAGAGAGAGAGAGAGAGAGAGAGAGAGAGAGAGAGAGAGAGAGAGAGAGAGAGAGAGAGAGAGAGAGAGAGAGAGAGAGAGAGAGAGAGAGAGAGAGAGAGAGAGAGAGAGAGAGAGAGAGAGAGAGAGAGAGAGATATATATATATATATATATATATATATAGATATACTGCTGTACCTGTGCAACAAAGATGTACCACAATGTACCTCGCCCCACAGGTTCGGGTGTTCACGGGAACGAGGGACGTGGACGTGGTACTGGACACCAAGGCAATAGCCTCTGACTTTCTCCTCCAGGTACGCTCTTCTCTCCAGTGTTACAGTTTATAACATTACAATTTGTAAACAAATAAACCAAGATTCAGTTAAATGTTTGATAGTAAAATTATTTTAGTTTAACATCAACAGACCTCAATCCGTTAATAATATTTCCTGTAGCACAACGTCCTAGGCTCACAACCTAGGGAAACGGATTCAATTCCCAGGGAAGGCAGAAACGGTTGGGCACATTTCCTTTTATCTGATGCCTCTAGTCACCTAGCATTAAAATAGGTATCCGACAGTTAGGCAATTGGTGTTGGTTGCATGCTAGGGAAGATTAGTAGTTGACTTGGGAAGACCTCAGTAATTCCTGTCCCCAACAACCGAAATTATTGTACGACGCGTTAATAATTTCCTTTAAGTATTAAAGCTTAATGTAGGTCATAACATATTGACTGCTCTTATAATTCCATAAATGCCAGGATTTGCTCTTGATATAAAGCAATTTAGTGTCTACAATCTTACCCCGTGTCATTGTTTTGGGTTTGTTTATTGTCGTTATAAATTATTTGTGTCATTGAAACATTTCAAACGGATTTCTAACATTTTCTAGGAATTTGTATTAACTTAACATCTGTAATGATGTAACAACTCACTTTGTTTGTATTAACATCTGTAGGGCTGACTGATGAGAGAAGAGAATTCGGGTAGGTAGCTACCTGAAAGATATGTGATAACGTGTCTGAGTCTGGGATTTTTCGGGCAAAGTTTAAAAAAGTTCCATTTTTTTTATCACTTCCAAACGACTTTGTAGCATACTATACGTGTGTTTTAATATATTATAGCATACTGTACATGTGTTTAAAGGAATTTGTTGCATACTGTACATGTGTTTAAAGGCATTATAACATGCTGTACAAGTGTTTTAATATACTGTAGGATCTTCCGTGTTTATACAGCCCGTCCTCTTGCCCTGACGCTTCATAAACAATGCGAACATTTTGCTTAACATGAAATATTCAAACCTAAGCAACCCACATAACCTGTGGAGGACGATATTCGGATAACGTCAATAAAACGGTGCTTTGTTTTGTACTAAAATAACACAATTTTGAAGAATTAGTCAGTTCCGATAAAAATGCGACGAATTAGGTGAGTGGACATGTTATACTAATAATAATATTTAATACAAAGTGTGCACATCAGATTACAGTGGCTAAGGATTAAAGTAGACTCAGTGCAAAGTCACCGAAAAGTACATTTCAGTATCTATTCCATTGTTAGGTTTTAATCAAGCTTTATATATCATGGTAGGTAACGGAGGAGCTGGGGTTGAAGGAGACATGTTGGTTTGGTCTACAATATAAGGACAAGAAGGGTCGTTGGTTCTGGCTCCAGCTGGATAAACAGGTAACCAATCCATCTCCTGTTTTTCCCTACTCTAGAAAACAATACAAATCAATAAGACTCGCATCTTGATCAGTCACAATTCGTTGTCAATTTATCAATTAATTATCTGTTCATACAAGGTCATATGCTTTATCTCATTCTTTACCGCAGGTGTCGCAAATTATTATTTTATAATTGTTCGTGAATGCTAACTGCAAGGTTTATGTATCAGTTATTTGTTCTGATGTGGGCAGGTATTGTCACAGAAGGTCGACGATAAACAGGACCCCTTGGTGATGTTCCTGAAGGTGATCATCTTTCCCCGCGAACCCTCGTTCCTACTGGATGCTTTGGCGCAGGTAAGGATCCCACCGCTGCCACCATTGTATTGCAGCATGCACTTCATATCATAACTCAGTTCCAGCTGTTTCCTTTCAGTCGCGTTCGCTCATTCAAATTTCCATCAGCCTCTCATAAATGTGGAATGCTTTTAGAGAATTTGACATTATACTGCCTTCCTACTCAACCCATTCGTACAGCCCCCGTAATACAATGCTGGCATTGTACTTTGAGAGAACCCTAACAAAATGTAATCCTTTATTTCTGAGCCACACCATACCCTGTCGTCACACCACACACAACCACATCCCACTGTCACCACACCCAACAACAACACTACACCCAACCAGCACACCACATAATACATCAATCGAATGTCAAACATTGCGCAACACATCACTATCACAATCCCACCACACTATCACATCTCACTATCACACCACATCACATCACACTACAGCCTCACAGTATAAAATCATTCCATTAAGAAAGACATCACTAACAAGATCTCTTCCTCCACTGTACCTGGAGCAGTCCCTGATTGTTCAGCAGGTTCAGATGTCCATTGAACTGGAGGAGCTGCTCTGTTCATCAGCATGTTCCAAGCAACTCAAGAATCTAGCAGAAGCCGAAAGGTAAGTTCCAGAGGTCAATTCCGTTCTAAAGCTGAAGTGTAAATGTTTGAAAGAAAGAGTTTGAGAGGTAGAAAATTTGTTCTATAAGTTAAAATATAACGTCAGTCCCAGAATCAGAAAAGTGAGTTCAAGAGGCTCAAATGAAAATTAAGTTCCAAAGTTCTAGATGTCCAAATGTGAATTTATTTCTTTAACTCAAAAATTGAATTTTAGCTTTAACCCGTCCTCATCAGCATTGGTCAAATGCTCCTTAACCCAACCGTCAAACCTTGTTTATGAATGAAAAACGGTTTACACACAACTCATAAATGATAACGTTCAAACACTTCCCGAGCAGTGCTTCGTTGATGGCCTCTGTTCGAATTCCAACTCTGTAAATGTTTCACCCACATACTTCAAATACAAATAATTGATAACAATACTAAGCACCAAACCTAGCCTACGCCTAACTAGAGTTAGTTTAGCTAGTAAAGCTCCTCGAATTTAGGTAGTAATTGTTAGTCATGCGTAAAGTATTTTTTCATTAACACACATGGTGGTGTATTATTAATATACATGGTGGTTACTGCTGGATTAACAAGGACCTGGCCAGTGTTTATGAGGACAGGCTGCAAAATATTAACCTACCTATGGTGAACCCGAGTAAGTGCACCGGCTGGTGATAATTTCATCAGAAATCTGATTAGGTTTCAGTTACTTCAAAAATATTCTGATCACATTTGTGTATAGTTTTTTGTTTGCACTATTTAGCTGTCCATAACAATATAGAGATTATTTATTATAATAAATATCGAAGATATATATTATTCATTTTGTGATCTTTTTAATCTTAAATATTTGCTCATAGCAACCATAGCTACTTATCGAAGCCTCATAATAAGAACGCGAAGATATTATGATTTTTTTCTGCATTTTATAGTAAGTGTGGCAATAGTTATCTGTTATCTTTGATTAAATATGTTATTTTTTGTATCAGAATCTCTATTTATGTAAGAGTATTTCTATGTTGGTACTCCAGGGTGGAGCAGTACTTGAAGGTAGTTGAGAAACTGGAGGAATACGGGTCATGGCACTTCCTCATGACTAGACCGCATGACCCAACCCCAGTCAGGGTCAGCTTCAATCTCCTGGGCATCACTGTCACGGCAGACAACAGGTGAGTAATGACCAACCTAGTTATTGTATTGTAGCCTACTGATTGAAGTACGCTACAATACAACAGTATAAATATAAGTATAATACTTATACTACATTATAAGTAATAATACTTATACTACAGTATAAGTATTGTAACATACAGATTGAAGCCGAGTTCGATTCCCGGGCACGACGAGGACAATTGGACATGTAAATGGAATTTAGTAAACTATTGCGGGTTGCATCATGGGGAATGACCGGTTGCTAACTAGGATAATCTCATTTAACCAATACAGGCTTCCTGTGTCCGTCAATGGCTCAATAAACCTAACAGACTTCCTAGCTGTGCCCGTCAACGGGAATCAGTAACGACTGATAACAGGGTTCAGTGTTTTTGGGCAGTCTGCTCACATTTTAGTACAATATCCACGCTATCATGGTCCAATATATGTAGTTTTTGTTTATTTGACAAACTTACATGGATTATTGACTTATATAAGATCAATACCCCACTTTTTAGGTCAAATGGTTGAGCACAGTTCCTTTTACCTGATGCCTCTGTTTACCTAGTAATAATTAGGTACCCGGGTGTTAGGAAAACGTTGTGGGTTGCATCGGGGAAAGGTCAGTAGTTTGCCCTTGGGGGAACCCGAAACAAGATTAATACAGGCTTCTTGTCCCCGACAACGTGAATTATTATTAATCACTCCATTTAATAATAATAGTAATAGAAATAATACACAGAGAAATCACATTAATGTGATATATCAAAGAACAAATCCACAGAAGCCTTGATGAAGGTCTGGGAAAGTGCGTACGACTCATGAAGGTAAGGATCATAACCCAGAGATATAAGCTGGCTCATCACCTCAAAGGGCGGGTAGAAATAGCCTAACCTACTCTATCCCTTTGAGATGTATATTTTTTTCTTGTCTCAATAAACATACTTGAGCTTGGATTATCACCTCAAAGTCAAGTGTAGTTCTCAGTCTTTCGCCTTCTTTTCAAATCAAATCAAAATCAAAATGTTTATTCAGGTAAAAGTCCATACATAGAAGATGAGTTACAAATATAATGTTGGGTTTATAGATAGAGCTAGTACAGTACATACGATACCTAAAGCCACTAATACTCATAGCGATTCGGGCAAACAAAACGGTTTTGATAATTACTTTTGTATATCCCTTATGATGAAATTTGGTTCAAGGTAACTTTTGAGTAAAGAATCATTTTACTTTATTTTTTAACTCAGCTTTGGATAATTTAACTAAATTTTATAATTCCACGAGAATTTGTATATAGTTTAATCTCGCTGCCCGCTTAGGACATTTCAAATTAGTTTAGTCCATTTATTATGCACCCTATACCGATATTTCAAAGCCGCAATAATAACTACAGTAGCAGAGTTACATTGGTTCAGTTGCAGTAGTTGTACTTAATTAATATTATATTAATAAGCAAATTAATGTAAGTTAGAGTACTATCAGTCTCTCCCTTCCTCTCAGCACACTCCTCTCTTCCTCCACAGACAACACAATTTCCCGTTTACGGAAATCCAGGAAGTGAGTTCCAGTGGGAAGAAACTGTTGATAAAATACGTGAGTCGAGGCATGCCCACTACTGTCTTCCTGGGCCCCTGTCAGGAGTACACGGAGGACCTGCTCTTCCTCCTCCTGGCCCACCAGCGACACTTCCTCACTAACAACAACCAAGGAAAGTCCACTCGCCGCCGAAGCTTCATGATTTACAACCTTTGAATTCCCAGCTGCAATCACTACCTGAGGAACTAGTTATTGATCGCTCAGTCACAACCACGAGCTGATCAACAGCCAATTAAAGCATTGTTGCTACCGTTACCACATATTCTCCAGCCAATGAATGCCGCTACATGAACGCCTAATGAGTGCTTGCTCACAATCGACCAATGCTGCACACACGTGAGAATTACTTTCACCCATCAGCGCTAGGATTTGCTCAATATACATCATAAAATGTTTCCAACCATATATCGAACAACAAACCGAAATATCATCGAAGGTGCAACGGAATTTTTGTTTGTATTAACAAGCTTAGGTTTACCCCAGCAATGTGTTGCTACCCTATGCTATATGAAGTGTAAATAAAAAATTAGCTATAAGTTCATCTAAAATCTCCATCTCACAGGATGATTACTCATACATAGAATCAGGGGAGAACTTGAGATGCTAGGCTGAATCTATTAGCCTCCACTAGCACACTCTGTGTACAGCACAAGAATACCTTCCAATATTGGCGAGTGTATGAGGTAGTTACAGAGCTCAAAGTGCCTCATACCATTTGGTCTGAAATCACTGATAACAGGGCAATCACAGATATAGTGTTGGAGAGTGTCCAAGCTCTTGTTCACATAGTTTATAATGTGACAATGGTTACATCACTGTCATTGTTATTGGGGTTGTTATATACATAGTTTTGTCTCAATTATCATTAGTAATAAATTAAGTAAAAAAACCAGTATCCTTGAATATATTTACCCATTGTTAGATGTTCTTATATATGGTGCTGCTATGTTTGTACCTTATATGTAACTCCTGTTTTGTAATAAAGTTTATATATATATATAATAGAGATTGTAGGCGAAGAAAATATTAGTGTTCAGTGAGAATCCTCAAGGTCTTCTGTGAACACTCTTTTTATTCTCCAAGGCTATGGGTCCCTACAATTGCACAAGGGGTTCTTTTAAAAAAACAGGTACCAATTCACTGACGAACAGAAGCTATAGTTAAGGATTAGCGCCCAGTCAATCCTCCCCCACCAGGATACGAACCCAGGCCAAAGCGCTCGCGAAGCGCCGGGCGAGTGTTTTACTACAGCGCCACGGAAACAATAATGTGTTAATAGTTTCTAATAATGTATAAATAATGTAATTGAATATTCCTTAATGTTAAAAAAAACCTGCTTCAGGGAGGAAATTCGCTCACGGGAATAAATTGATAATGACTATATAATTTGTGCTATTATCTACTCTCTATCCATCATGGTTAGGTTAGGTTAAGTTGGGTCAATGTGGGAAGAGATTACAACCTCTGAAGGCCTTGGCATGCTGTGGAAAGGGAGTGGGAGTCCCTGTGCTACGAATGATATACTTGAGTACTGTAAGATCTCTTATTGATTATTCTGCACCTATTAATTCTTGCCTTGGTAAAGGTAGGATGGGCAAGTTGGAGAAGGTACAAAATGAAGCCATGAGAATTATCTTAGGATGCCCAAAAAATGCTATGATTGAGATAATGAGGATGGAGTTGAATCTGCAGAGTATTGGGGATAGAATTTCAGAGATAACAGTAGCCTCTGCCATTAAATTAATGAGAGGTGGGGGAGCTAATGAATTAATCCTCTCGGTTCAAAAGGTGGGAAGTAATGAACAATGTATGATAAAGAAGAGAGCATATATGAGTACCTTATGTTCTAATGTTATAAAGTATGATGTTATTACAGAGTGTATTGCTGCGCCCACGTTAGTCTTTAAATAGCAGACGCCCAGTATACCAGAATATTGTGACAGAGTGTAGAGAGAATGTTAAGAAATTAGAAAAACTGGGTATAAAGTAAGATTCATGTGGATCCATTCACACGTGGGAATACTGTTGAATGAGGTAATTGATGAGATAGCGAAGAGAACCACGGAAAAAAACTCTTGTTGATATTGTATGTCAGATAACTTTGAAGCAAATAAAAACAAGAATCAAGATGATCCAAGAGGGTGAAGAAATGGTAAAGAGAATGGCAATGGTGGACAGTAGTAACACACTTAAGAATTATTCAATAATAAATACAAATTCCAGTACCATTCACAGTTTAAAAAAAAAACAAATACGACAGAAAATATGGTCGTCATGCTCAGACTGTGGGGCCCAAACGTCCTCGCAAAATATAGATATTTATAGATGATGACTGATAAGTAAAATAAGACCAAAAATTAGAGCAGTGGGATAAAATTTGTATTTTCAAGGGATAGCGAGCTGATAGACTCCTCCGTCCCGGGAGTGGAGTGAAGCGACACCAAACAAAGGGGGCGTCTCTGTGGCTGGTGTAGTGTATGGGAGGAGAAGGAAGCTGCATCCCACGGTCGTCCACCCATATGGTAGAAGGAGGCTGTGGTTACTGGTAGGAGGAGACGGCAGTTGCTGGTAGGAGGAGAGTATAAAGGAAAAAAGTATTTGCCACCGCAGCTTGACCATGTCACTCTCCGTTGATATACAGTTGAAGAGGTTGAGCAGAATCTACCACCAGGGAGTATGTGCAACATATTTAAATGTTTACACTATGACAAGACATACATAATGCATGCGTGTTATTGACGTTACGAGAATGTATCAGTCACTAGAATCTGGACTTTCACAACCTATTATATCTTGTATATATGGTACCCATAATTACTGTAAATGATTAAACAAAAATAAACATTATATATATATATATATATATATATATATATATATATATATATATATATATATATATATATATATATATATATATATATATATATATATATATATATATATATATATATATATATATATATATATATATATATATATATATATATATATATATATATATATATATATATATATATATATATATATATATAACATTTTTATTTACGGCTTTGGCCTGTGGTGTTATGAATTAACTAAACTAACTGTTTGCAGGAAACTGTTAGTGGAGTGTTAGTGTTAGACAGTCGATCTGATGCAAGACACGATGGCATCACCCTGACTATGGATGGCGTCGCTAGTGTGCAGTTGTCTCCCAGAAGTGCAGGACTGATCGAATCAATTGTTAATTCCTCCAAGGTACAAGAATATGGTGTTATATATTTAAACAAAAAAGTTCTCTCTCCAAAGTACAGTACAGTACATTGTGTTATGGGACAGCATTGCTTGTAATTTTAATTTAAAGCAGTTATGATCATGTATTTTATTTCTCAAGGGTGATTAGTTCATTAAATTCATTAAAAGCGATTCTGTTTGTTTATTGGGTGGAGAATTTTATATTATTATTACGAAGTGTATTCCAGTACTGTACCAGGGAAATGACATATGGTACTTTATATTTTGGACATTTTTATTCTATTATGTACTGTATATTATATTTTGTGTATACATTATATCAATGATGCTTATTAAGAGATATTTCTATCTTGTTTTCATTATAAATTTAAAATGTATTAGGATTGCTGTAGACCAAATGGGAAACTGAAAATAGTGCTTAAGTTTATAGGATGTCCTATATCATGCATTACAGTATTTTGCATAATAATGATTGTATTGTTCCTATAGATATAAAGTGTTGACATTTGTAGGTTTCAATATAAATTATTAATTAGCACAGTTTAATATGTTTTGATAATTGTGTTTCAGCCTATCTCTCTGATAAACCAATCAGTGGAGGTTGCTAAATCAGGCAAGATACCCTCAGGGCAAACGGAAATTCCATTTGAACTTGCCCTTGTCCCACGTAACTCTTCCAAGACTCTGTATGAAACTTACCATGGGGTGTACATCACAGTTCAGTACTCACTAAGGTGTGACATCAAGCGTAGCCTCTTGGCAAAGGATGTTACTAAAATGCAGGAGTTTATTGTTGAGTATAGAGTAAGTGTTGTTTTTTTGTATAGTACTTAACTGATGTTGGAGAATGTATTAAATCCAGTGTCTTACTAAATATGTTGTACATGATACTTTAGTTAATCTCTGTTGTGTACGTAGTTTATATTCAATTGCATTTTGTGTACTTTTAAACTTGAATGTATATTTCATATGTACTGTAATTATGTGACATAATTTTTTGTCTGTCAAGATAGTGAAGGTTTTTTTTACTACTGTATTTACCCAAGTACTGTAATTACCAAAGTGTAGTTACAGGTTGAGAGCAATGCTCGTGGTGCCCCATCTTCCCAGTACTCTTTGTCATATATCGCTTTGAAACTACTGATGATTTTGGCTTCCACCACCTTCTCTTAATTTTTTCCAACCATCTACCACTGTTTGCGAAAGTGAATTTTTTTATATTTCTTCGTCAGCTGTGTTTAGTTAGCCCACATTAGGAGGTCGGAATAGATTTTCTATTCCAAAACATGGTATTTATTCACATTGAATTTCATATGCCATATGTTGCTCCACTTATTTTGTTCAGATCATTTTGAAGCTACATACCTATCTACCTTGTGGTGGTTCTGGGGATCAAGGCCCCTACAGTCCAGTCTACAACCAGGCCTGGTTGGTTGTCTAGTTAACCAGGCTGTTGGATATGGCTGCTCACAGCCTGACGTATGAATCACAACCTGATTGATCAGGTATCTTTGGAAGTGTTTATCAAGTTCTCTCTTAAACATTATGACAGGCTGGCACTGGTCCGCTATACCCCTTATGTGTAGCAGGAGAGTAGTGAAAAGCCTTCGATATTGATCAAGTTCTTTCTCAGTGTACTTATTGTGCCTCTGCATTTCAATGGGGCCATTTTGCACACCCTGCCATGCCTACTGGTTTTCTTGTGCTGTTATTCCTGTGGGCAAATTTAGAGCCAGTCCCTCTAATATTTTCCATATGTAAATTATTATATATCTCTCTCACCTGCATTCTAGAGAATTCAGTTTTAGAACTTTTAATTGGTCACAATAATTTAGAGGCTTATTATTTGCTTATGTATTTATTACCAAAGTAGTGTCTTTCATTTTCTCATTCATTAAGTGTTTACAAATTAAGGTACTATTTCTGAGTCTGGATTGTACAAAACTTCACATAGTACAAATTGGGCCCAGTCCTCTTTAGTTCATACAGATGAGAATGCAATTTATGGTATTTGGCTTCTGTGTTCGTATCAAGTACTACTGATAAAGTATTACATTTATACAGTATAAATTAATTTAAAACTTTTCAGTTAAGGACCAAGACACAAATTGGTAGCCTTTGATCTGCTATGTTATCTAGTGTAAAGATTTAAAACAACTTTTCACATTTTCAGCCTGGTTCAGGAGACAATGAAGAGCAGAAAATAGTTAATTTTGAAATACGCCCTGAAACATTACAAAATGTTCGTGATCGTGCACGCATCCCACAATTTTTGGTCAGGGGTCATCTGGACACTTCTGTGTTCCCACTTTCAAAACCAATAACTGGAGAGGTGAGCATTTACTGAAGTTTATGCAGTTTTGCTAATTAAGGTACTGTAAGGGAATTTTATATAGAACTGTTACAATATAATTGTTATTATTTTTTCTAGTATTCTGCATCCTTCAAGAGCCACTAGTTGTTTTATCATAATTTGATCATAATCATTGTTTTATTTCACACAAATAAGCAAACTGTAGTTATAGCCACTTTTTATGTACATTACCATTATGATGATGAATCCAATAAGATAGATAACTAGTCACTTATTTCATGCCATGAGTATATCAGCTAGTTTATTGAAAAATATTTGAGATGTTAGCTAAGTAAATGTTTCTTATTTACTATATTTGTCAGTGTACAAGGTGCAGCTAATTCACAAGATATTTTGTGCATGAAACAATTCAGGTATATTCATCATAAAATCACTTATACATTACTTTCAATAAATGTATTGAAAGTAATGTATAAGTGATTGTGTGGGGAAAAGCATGTGATTTTGTGCATGTAAATACAATATATATTGTATTGGCAGTGGACCAACTTTGTACATCATATTCGGCAACAAATACAACATATTATTTAAAGATTACCAAAGGAATAGAGGTAAGGATTAGCTTTACATGTACTGGTAGCTTTAGCAGGTGTCTTGTTTTGCATTGTAGATGCAAATTTATTATGTAGTACTTTAACTCACATTGGTAATGCTTTTTTGTTAATATTTTTTTATATATAGAGTACACCCGAATTTTGGTGTTTGGGTTGCAGGTGACAGTGTGTGAGTGTGAAAGGGGCATCAGCAGCATAGAGCTTCAGCTGGTACGTGTGGAGACATGTGGCTCTGCAGAAGGCCACACCAGAGAGGGTGAGTTGCCTCTTGTTTTAATGTGAACATGGGACATTGAGCATTTGGGTTCTGCACAATAAAAATCCTAATATTGATATATCTGCTGAGAAGATCTTTGAATCATTGTGTCCAGGTTCCAAGTTTATGGAATCAAATTCGCATACTAGGCCCTCCACGACACATTCATTATGTACTAGACCACAATGAACTTTATAGGTAATTGTGGCCTTGGATTCTGTTGACTAAGAGGCTTCTCTGTATTTTGTAGCTGTGACTTAAAGCTCTATTGTGATTGGCATTAATACTGATAAATAGGGGAAGTGGCATTATGCAGTAGTTATCAGTAAAGTCATAACCACAGTATGCACAAGACATATAATTTTTTTTTTAATTTATTTATAAATTTGCTTTATAAATACAGTACTGTATAAGACTTTTTAGGAAGACAATCCATAGATTAATTTATGGTACTGTTGTTGCATTTTGGGAAAATCATGGCTTAACAATGATAATTCATTTTGTCTAGGACAGGCAGCCTGTGCATATATATAACCTTAGGCTTATATAGAGATCTTTCCAAGGTGGAGCTACTGACCCTCTTCAGGATGCAACCCCACAACAAGCTGACTAACTCTCACGCACCTATTTACTGCTTGGTGAACAGAGGCATTAGGTGATAGGAAATATGCCCAACCACTTCAGTCCTGTCTGGGATTTGAATCCGAGATTTCTGATTGTGAGTTGAGAATGAACCCAACAATAGTAAATAATTAATAATAGTTGTATTTAAAATAAAGCCTCTCATGTACACTGTATTTCTGGTACTGTAATTCGAAAACCACCATGTAATTGTTGTATTGCCAGATTGTTGGATATAATGTTTGACTTTCAGATTCAATTATAGAATTATGACAAGTAATTGCTGGCAAAGTAGAGTTAGAGTATTTAACAGCTTAGTCTACTAAAATAAGTAGTAATATTAATATAATTAATGTAATTCTTTCTAGCATCCGAGATTCAGAATATACAAATTGGAGAGGGTGATGTGTGCCGATGCATTGCTATTCCAATTTATATGGTGTTTCCTCGTTTGTTCACCTGCAGCACTACTGTGGCTCCAAGCTTTAAAATTGGTGAGTTGTCAGATGTTCTTAAGACAATGATTAGTTTTTAGAACCAAAAATGACCAAACAAAATCCTTAAATTGTATATGTACATAATACTGTATCCATTTGTAGCTCAATAACAATTTTACATTTTCAGTAGTGTGATATTTACCCAAGTTCAGGTGTGTTCTCTAATACCACATTGTGACCTCATAACTCCTTACAATTATTTTTATTTTATACACGATTTGAATTGCACCCAGATTTAGCTAGGAAACCACTTGAATATATTCAAAGAATGCGTGAAAATATGCAAAAGCAAGTACATAATTGCCTTAACAAAAATGACGGTTGGAAATAAGTCCCTATTAGTCGTTCATGGGATCATATTAATGGTCCGCGGGATTTAAAAGTATGAATTTAGTGGTCCGTAAGGTTGGCGACCGCTGGTTTAAAGTACGTACAGTATTGTAATGAATGTCATTCTTTATATCTAAGTCACTGGTCTTAACTGTTACTTTCTATATCTGTTATTAATTTTTTGTTTTTTGTTTCTTTTACAGAATTTGAGCTGAACATAGTGATAATCTTTGACAACGATCATTTAGTTGTAGAGACATTTCCAATCAAGCTCATACGCAGTTAAATTTTAAGGACTATCAGACAGAGATGAGTGTCTTGGGTTTCACAGTTGATCATTCACATATGTAATTGATAAGACTGCAATGTCTATGTATCCCTAGAGATATCCAAGTTGCTGCCTCAGCTGTGAGTAATGCCACGAAATCACACTTTCAATTTAAATTGAAAATTTAGAAAATGTACATACAGTATTCATTATAGTATCATAATCTGTTTTCTACCTTTGTGGAATGGGAAGAATTTGTCTGGAAAAGATAGAACAGTATAGGAAAAGAAAGCTAATGGTATACAAAATTACGCTCACTTTTTAAACATGCTGTTTGTACTCAACAGCATTATAGGGCGCCTACACCATCACATTAACACACTTCAGAGTTGACATGTACAAATATGTCAATTATTAACACACACTACAATGCAGTACCTTTACTCCAGTCTTGTTTCCTAAAACATATGTTCTAGTCACACTTAATCTTCATCGTGTCTGTCCAGCATCTTAGTCTTCATTTCCTCAAATTTACTTGAATACATTGCACAGTGACTTACGTATGTGTTACCTGGTCAGTCAGGTTAAGCCCCATTAGGTGACTGCATGAACAGCCTTGCTCATGGATAGTGGATGCCTCTAAAAATGCTTAATAGGCCTCATGCTCTTAACAATGGTATATAAGTACAGTATACACTTTCTTCACTACTTGCTCATGTAATTCATTTGCTCAACATGGTAAGCTTGAGCAGCTCTTCCTTACTTAACTATGCAGCTTTCCACAAGCACACCTAATTAGGCTTTACCTTTTCATCATTCACACACTGCCATGTAATCCTTATGTTTAAATTATGTATTATTGATGATATAAATCACATCAATTTCTCAGTGCAGTTGGCTCATAATTAACTGGATTTGTGCTGAGGTTGATACCTCAGGGCTTAGTTTTTCCTTGAACCTGATACCACTATTCACCTAGTTGTAAATAAGTACCAGGGAGTTAAGAGATTGATATGGGTTAAATCTTGGAAGATTAGTCATTGGTCTTGATAAGCCATGCAGGCTTGGCTTTCTGTTTTTGACAATGGGAAACCACATACAGTACTTTTAGCTTTGACTTACATAAATGTGGACATCAAATTTTGTTTTTAAAACATTCACCATTTCCATTTCTTTTCTCACTTATTCCTCTTAATGTATAATTGCTGGGCAGGAGAGAAACAGTCCGGCAAGTTTCCTTTCGCCTAATGTCTCTGTTCACCTTTCAGTCGATTATGTTGGCTCATAATCGACTGAACTCGTTAAATTTCCAGGCAAGTTGATACCTCTGGGCACGTTTTTCTTGCACCTGATACCTCTGTTCATCTAGCAGTAAATAGGTACCCAAGAGTTAGTCAGCTGTTGAGAGGTTGCATCCTGAGGAACGTCAAATTACTGACCTCGATAAAATTATATATATACACATACACAGAGGCTTCCTGTCCCCAAGAAACATTATATATACAGTACAGTATATAAATGCATACTTTGGGGATTTGTGTTTCCTGTTTGTGAGTCAATATGACCCACATCACTTTATCCCTCTTGCAATGTATCCCAATCCTCAAGAATAAAAAACATTCCAAGGTAACAAGTTACATTTCTGGTGTTTTCATTAATTAATGAAAAATAAATTTGAAAAACTTTCTGACAATTTTAGGTTAATGACATTACATGTACATCTATGGACATAATTACTAGGAATTTATGAAAAACTTGTGCAAGCAGTGTGTGCACAATCTATATGAGGTAGATGTATAATTATTTGATTTAGATTGATTTTTTCAGTCAAAAATAAGTTTATATTGAAGTATATTGGATTTAAAGTTTGCCAGAGCTAATACAGAGATTTGGTTCTCGTGTACATGATTGTGCTGTTATTACATGTATCTGTGATATACTGAATTTGTTTAACAAACTAATTTATCAATATTGTACAGTATTTCTAATCTGCTTATGAATTTGTAAGAACACAAATGTTGTTCAATTATTTTATATATGATGAACTGTATTGATTAGAACCTATATTCTTTAAAACAATATTATAGACATTTACAACTTATTAAATACTATTGATATTAAGATTATGAATTTATTTCCTTAATTATGAGTACGTGTGTATGAGGTTGTTTAACTGCATACATTTCAAATTAATTTGTTTACTGTTAAAGACAATACAAGTTTATGATACTGTACATTTATCATTATATTGGAAAACAAATAATGAGGTGGGGAGGCATTATCTAGGAAGAAAAACTGGAGCAGTGTAGGAAACAAGTTTAAAAAATACTGTACTTAAAAATGACACCCTCCATACATTCACATTTAGCACATCATCACACAACCAAACATTTCTGCTTACTTGCTCATTATGTCTGCCTTCCTCTTCTACTTTGTTTTACCTGAATACACATTACCACTACCATCCATTCATTTGATATGACTAAACCATCTTGATACCCTCCCCTCATTCTTATCATTTACTGATTTTTGACCCTCTGTATTTTTGTTATTACTCACAATCCTCTTAACACCACAAATGCATCTCATATTGTTCATTTCTCTACTTTAACTATTTTTTTTTCATAGTTATGCTGCACTATGAAAGGGAACAGTGAGGATTTCAGACAACAGAGCAACGAAAACAAACACATGTACAATCTATAGTGGGAAAGTATCAAATGGACACGCTAACATTGTAGAAACTAAATATAGTGCTCTGGAGAATAGAGGAGCAACACATCAGACACGGGTCAGTGACTTGGGGAATTGGAGAAAGTCTCTCTCTAGACCGAAAAACTAGAATTAAAGAAAAATAAGAAATATAACTGGTAAATTGGGACACAATAAATGGAAAAAAGGAAGAGATATGGGAAGTATCAAAGAAGGCACCAAACTGGGAAGGCTACGTAGCACCATCAAATGTGCGGAATAATCAGAGGGCGCTAAATATCACTAAGGATGCCAGTAAGAGAAAAGAAATGCATAAGGCGAACGATATCAAAAGTATCTGATTCACCAAGAATTCTATCGAGGGACAAGTGACCGCGAGGGACGGTAGGAAAGCAAGACACGCTCGTCCTGGAAGTCAGGACATTCAACAGGGATAAGAGAGATGGGAAGTACCATGGTAAAGTAACAAATGATGGAGAGTTAGTTAGGAAGATCGAGCGAAGATAACCATCTTAAATGCAACTTGTAATGCAAATCGAGGTCACTAGAAGAGCAAAACATACAATAATGGAGAGTAAATGTAATGTACAGTATACCTGCCTCCATACATCCCTATATAAAAATTCATGAACTCCGTACACCTGGTCTTATAAGGTGGTGGGTTGCTGCTGTGATTACTAGTGTGTGGTAGAAGTGATATTTGCTTTTAGTGAGATGGGTCCATGGGGCCCCATCCAATAATGCAGGAAATATGAGACTGATTGTACCCCCTTAATTGTGGTGGTCAGTGGAATTACAATCCGGGTGATGATAAAAATATCATGATCATATAAAAAAAAGTAAAGGATATTAAAAAAATTAATTTAATTAAAATTCATTAAAAATAGATACCAAAAAGAGAAATATTCACTAAAACAAAATCTAAATTTCAAATACCCCTATTATTAAATAAATTCATTTTTTCACATTTGAATACTAAAGAGTAAGGTATTAAAATGCACTATTGATGAAAATTCACTCAAATTTCTGTTTATAAAGATATAATGAACTTATGAATTCAAAAGATGAACTTAGTTTTTATTTCTCATAAATGGTACTTAAGTATATTACTGTATACACAATAAATAAAATATTAAAAATCAGACAGTACAGTATAATAAAAATTAGAGTCAGTTTGTAAATTACAGATATCAGTTACACTCTAGAATGACTATGACTGAGCAGATAACTACAACTACACCGACTCGGATCCTTTGGTATATATTATCTTAAATTACTGTGTGTGACTTTTTGTTATGGCGCAGCAGATTTCTTCTGTTTTATCTTGAGTATCTTTCTGTCTTTCTGTTTGTGTGGGCCTGATGACCCTGAAGGCACTATGTTTCTGATTACTTTGTCTGGAGTTCTTGTGAATTTCAATTTCCTTTGGTGACTGAAAGAGGTGAGCCAGTCAGTATTGCGCTTTTTCTGCACTCTAGTTTCAGGTCGGTTGTGAGGGGACAACCCGTCTACAATGTAATTTGGTAAGTTTGCAGTTGGAGAGGAGAGGTTTCCAATTCGAAATGAGGTCTTGGAAGAAACGGTTTGCACATTGATATATGGTTCTGGTAGCTGTGTAAGGGTGCTATCCTTATGTAAATTTTCTTTGCTTTCTATGTAATGTCCACTCTTCTCCATAAGTTTAGATGCTACATTTGTGACAGGCTTTCTAAATCCAACTCCAAGTGCTTCAATAGGTTTCATGCACTCTGTCATTTCTGTGACCCCTTCACCTTTTTCTTTGCATTTTTGTAAAATACTAGAACCCACATCATCTCCATATTTGAGCATCTTAGCGACACTTGGCTGAGGGGATAATGAATTGTTCACAGAAGGTAATATACCTAAAATACTCTTTTTAGGAGAATTAGGGGACTTAGGTTTGACTTCATCTTGTATATTTTCCTGATCTTCACCAATGATATCTGTAAGTTTACGTTTAAGGCTAGCCTTTTTGCTATCACTTACTACTGTTATACCAGAAGTACTTGCAGAATCTTGAGAACCTGGAGTTTTAGCAGTTGCAAGCCAAGTCAGTAGAGTATTTCTATCACTTGTCTTGGGTGTGCAAGGTGTGGCTCTGCCTTTAGTTCCTTGCTTACGTCGAGGAGTTTGTTGTCGTGGTGTACTGGGATGAGTTTGAGGGGAATCTGCATTGCACTGCCCTTCTCTTTTTCTGGTATTTGGTGTTGCAGCAAGAGAGGCTCTTGTTCTTGATGTACTTGGAGTGACAGGCAGAGAAGGGAGTGGTTCATGGGATTCAGAAACTGTTCTTTCTTTATTCCCCAAATATATTGCAGTCTTGTTATCAGTTGCACATTCACTATTGCGTTCTTTTATAATGTATGGCTCAGATATGCCACGAATATTTATTTTTTCATCAAAGTCATCCAAGTCAACATTTTTTCGCCGAAAGATGCGGAGTTTCATGTCATCTGCACAAGTTACTACCTAAAAAAACAAAAATACTAATTATTAAAATATCACCGAGGCATCAACAGTGCCATCTCTGTGCAAGATATCTCTTAAAACTCCAAGAAATTTTCTTAACCATTCACCTTTGTTAGAAACGTTCTTATAACTACATCTCTCATGATTTAATTTAATCTTAAATACTCTTGCAATTTAATATTTCAGTGTTTATTCTGTTGCTCTTTACTTTATATTCTACCATAAAACTAAGGTGCTCAAAGCTGTACATCAATGTAAACAACTATTTTATGTTGCACATCACTGAATAGAAGGGTTTCTGTCACTAATATAAAAGGTATGCATTCATCTGTGTGGATATATCTTGTTATCTTGAGGTTATCTTGAGATGATTTCGGGGCTTTTTAGTGTCCCCGCGGCCCGGTCCTCGACCAGGCCTCCACCCCCAGGAAGCAGCCCGTGACAGCTGACTAACACCCAGGTACCTATTTACTGCTAGGTAACAGGGGCATTCAGAGTGAAAGAAACTTTGCCCATTTGTTTCTGCCTCGTGCGGGAATCGAACCCGCGCCACAGAATTACGAGTCCTGCACGCTATCCACCAGGCTACGAGGCCCAGATATGAACACTAAATTTTAAGACTGGCAAGTTTGAAGTATCTTCTGTATATCTGACTGTTCTTACATTGAAAAACAGATGATTCAAGCATTGGGCACTAACAATTATTAAAACTACGAATCTGAGAGAGGAAGTGAGATTGCATGAAGAGACAAAACCCAGATAAGCTACAAAACTTAACTTGACCCATGACTTAATTCATATAAATATATATACAGTATTATAATTAATATGAGGGGTGAACATATGAGTGTGTGAGGAAATATTGAGTATGAGCAGCACACAGTATATAATAAGGAGGATGACTGGGTGGCAGCAGCTTGTAAGTAGTGTGTGAATATACTTAAAACACTTTCGCGCGCCCTGGGAAGGTAAAAAAAAAAAAAGCGGTATGTGCGCGCGGCGTTTTTGCCGCGTAAGCGTAAAAACAAAAATGTGTATACTCTTTTTACTCTCCTGACCTTAGTTCTCGAGCTACGTATTTCATTTTGGTACCAACGTGTTCGCAATAAAATTCTCTAGAAGAACATCAGTAAAAAAAGTCACGAAACGTATAGGGATACCAGCACCAAATAAATAACTACGAAGATGACTCGCCGTGAGCGCCCAACAGCAACAAAATGTTTTTACTCTTGGGATTGTTATCACCTCCACACTTGTCCTACAGCGTTAATTTTGGTATCAATGGACTCGCAATGAAATTCCCAACACGGTGATATGAATATAAACGTAGAATAATGATTGCGGCCCACCCGCAAGAGTGTGGGAAGTGGTGAAATTGTTACCCGGTATCGGTGACGGGACGACACATGTGCGATACGGCGCTTTGAAAGTTTATACTTATTTCACTCTCCTGACATTATTATTCTATGTACGTCATTCATTTTTGTGTCAATGTGTTCGCAATAGAATGTTCTATGAGCCCGTAGGTAAAAAAGATCAACAAAGCGTAAGATAGAATAGCGCCAAATATAAAACAACGCTGGAACATATCAGTGAGCGTCAAACACACACGAAATGTTTTTACTTTTGTTATGTTTGTCAAGTTTATACTTGTTGCACACAGTTATTTTTGGTTGTACATTGATCGGAATAAAATTCCCTAAACAGACATATGCATATAATACATGATATGGGGGAAGCATTACCAGTATAAACGGCTAAAGTCACCCACCTGCAACCCGTTTGGGACACTCATGCAGACACACGCTACACCCAAAAAAAATCTATGAAGGTTCGAGTCTACTTATGGCAGTTTATGTGATACAGTGTTCATTCTGGTATCAAAATACAAAATACATTACCAGTATAAACGGCTAAAGTCACCCATCTGCAACCCGTTTGGGACACTCATGCAGACACACGCTACACCCAAAAAAAATCTATGAAGGTTCGAGTCTACTTATGGCAGTTTATGTGATACAGTGTTCATTCTGGTATCAAAATACTCGTTTCAGTTTGTAGTTCATGCGATTTTCAGAATCAACTGAATTGCTGGAGGTTCAACATTTGAGTCAGAGTCATCTGACAAAACCGTCTCGTCAAATGGCAGTGTGCCAGACATCTCGGGTTCTGATTCGGTTGCTGCTTCAGCTTGAGGTGTTGAAGTGAACAAGGGCCGCCTCACACCAGATGGTCCAGGAGTCTGCATGGCGTCAGCATAGGCAGGACCTGTGTCATCATTTATGTCTGGAGCGTGCTGCAAGTGTTGAGATACTGTTGCTGTTTGAGGCCAATCTTCCAGGTCCAAGTACAATAGGGCCCAATTTGCCACCTCGTGGAACTGTAGCAATGTTAGCTTTTTTTGATCAGTTGTGTTGTATTTGTACAAAACAAAGGCATTATGCAAAGCCATTTGCAGGAAATAAAACGTTATCTTTTAGGTCCACTTGTGATTTTTCCGGGTAAAATGGTAATACCATTTGATCGAAGTGGTCCACACCTTTCATGAACTTATTGTACCATGCAGCCTAGTGGTGAGAAAGAGAGCCTCATGGCGCGCAGTTTGAAACAAACCCAAAGTAAATCGGATTAAAATTGAATTTTATACAAATATTTTAAGAGGACATAAATTTATGTCCACCATGCGGAAGCGGTGAGGCGAAACAGGACTCCGGGCGGAGTCCTCATCAGCAGAAAGTGTTAAAATCCATAATATTGACTATATCCACCTACTTACTCCATGTACAGTATACAATAATTCAATTTGCAGACTTCTTAAAAATATATTATCTAACATTTTAATTCATTGCTTCTTTCTTCTATCTCTGTTTACTAATTTGTTTGTGAATCAAAAGAGAAGTATCCTCACAAACTACTTATGACAAAGTCATATGCTGCTAAAATACATTTTGTTGATAGGTTTTCTACCAGGCACACATTACTGCAAATTATTCACTCATACTTAAAATGACATCAATCTTTTCATTGTCCTTCTCTCATACCAGCAAAGGTTGAGAGCCCCAGGATTAACAACACTCACAGAGACCTTTAAAATGTAAATGTAATAGTATAATTTAGTCATTTTGTGGATATTCACATGAAACATACCTGGTTTAGGAGTGGGATTTGCAAGGTGATAGGCATAGATTGTGTTATCCATGCAAGATGTGTATAAAACATCGCGAGATGGTGAAACAGATAAGGATGTGAAGCCCCTATGCGATGAGCGGCCAGTGTGTTCCAGAATGTTTTGACACTGGGGTTCACGTTTTCCACCACCATGAGTCTTGCGGAGGTCCCACAGTTTTATGAGCCTGTAAAAAAAAAAAAAAAACGTTAATTGTAATGAAATGCCAATTTCTAAGTGAGCCCTGGAGGCTTCCTGAAGCTATCATACTGATTAAGTGCCATGCTACTTGAGTGTTATCAGTTGCAAAGTTCTTTTTACCTACCAGAGACCACAAGTCTTACCTCATTCCCTCAGAGAGGCGCAGGGAACGATGGCATATGAACACTTCCACCCTATTTACCCTTGCCATCCAAATACTCCAGCTTAAAAAACAAATACTATCTCCTTACCCATCTGAGGCTCCAGATGAGATAACAACATGCTGCTGCTGGAACACAACACCCGTTACACTGTTGTTTAATGACGAGCTGGCCATAGCTGCTTTGCGAACACTGGGTGATGCTATGGTTTTGCCTGTTGCAGAGAAATTGGAAGAGATAACAATAAAAATTCAACATGAGGAATAATATAGTCAATCAATAACATTAGCATCCACAAGATAATATATTTATTAATCACTAAATATGAGCACTGGGTTCCCTTTGACTTGGTGAACAGTTTGTGAGTTTTATTCACTTTTTGGTTGAGCGGGTTCCTAGTCCCACTGAAGACCAGGCAAATCAAAACACAATTAGACATTTGTTACTATGCCATCACTGGAGTGTAATCACTCAGAATAATTAAATTATAATGCAAACCATACAACAAGGCTAATAGGTGGGGCATAAAGAGGTAGGCTTCACTCATCCATAGACACTATTAGACCTTCCTTTCCTATCCTACCCACCTATCTTTTTGGTGGGTATTTTTTGGGTCTCAAATTCATCTCTGATCCACAAGTTACCCTCACCATAGAGAAAGCCAGATTCTGGTCGTGGCTCTGGTAGGTCAATATGAATCTCATTAGGCCTGGTACACATCTCAAAGCTTGGTTCTAATAAATAGCATGTAAGCTACAGGAAGCCTCTCAAAAAAGAATAGAGGACAATAACTTAATTTACAATAAGGATTATCTAATATATACAATTCTGAAAACAAAATACAAAACTTGCCAAGATTGGAGTGAGCTGGGGCTATCTCATCAGCTTTGTGGTGTGGCTTACAACGCTTGTCCCAGATAATTACACTGCCATCACGTGCTCCTGTTGCTATCACACCTGGAGCATTAGAAAAGAAACTGAAGTAAATATTCATATATTTTAAAGGTATACTGCTAAAAAGAGTAACTGATTAGTTTCCCAATTTTGCAACATGTTAGGATAGATATACAGTGCTTTGGTCATATCAGGTTATAGTGTTAACAAACACAAAACATTAAGTGCCAAGAGCCAGGCCCCCAACTCTTGTGACTTTCAGCTCAACTATTAATATCTTTATCAGGACATAAAATTAATTTCTATAATTTTCTTGCATGCTTAATATAACAGCCAATAATGATAATACTGTACTGAATGTATATTAATTTATCTGACAAACCAACTAGGTTCTCATTTTCAAAGATAACAAATAAATGCAGTATTTCCTGCCACGGGCAAGTGATGGGAATCAATTAATTGCAATTAATTTTCATGTTACCACCTGTCTGTAGTGCCGATATCATAAGCAGGAGTGAATGTAAACATCATAAGACATATGACCACATTTTCTTACTTCGAGTCTAATAGACAGCCTACAGCCTGAAAGCACTTCACTTTTTAGTAATATAGCACTTACCAAATTATGATTTGCCCAAGGTATTACAATGTCTTGTTGACAAATGCTCATTGATGTCACACATGCAGAATAGGCTTTAACTTGGCAGACATTTGAACCTAGTTTCATTACCCAATACAGGCAAGATCATTGGAAGCTGGTGTGATTTATAATTGACAGATAACCTTAAAAAATAGGCAGATGTGCATTGAGAGTTGATAAAAGCTGAAAATGTTTCACATTATAAAAATGGGACACAAGAAGAAGATGGAGATAGGAAGAAAATGGCAAAATGAATGTCTCAAAAATAATCCAGTATTGGAATATAATGCAGATTTTCTTTATTAAATAACTTGCTCTATAATAGGAATATATGTCCAAATGGGATACAGTATATACATACAGATGGAAAATATCTGAAATTTGCAACGAATCTAAAGTACCTAAATGCTGTAAAGTATGTGAGAGTAAACACACGATAAAAGCAATACTAACATGGGTCATACGGGTTTACATGAACAGTCTTGACGGATCTAGTGTGCCCCAACAATGACAGAGTCACGTCCAGAGTGCCATCTTCCCGTACTGCCAAAATAGACACACACTGATCCCCAGACACGGATACCAGCTCAGCAGACCCTGGCACCCAACACACATCAAAGATGGCATTCTGATGGATCTGCTGACCTGAAACATTGAAAGAATAAGCTACAACTAAAGGAAAAGACTGTGGTCCAACAGCTATGTTTTGTTTTTAAACTTGAGTAACATATTTTATCAAACATGAGAAGCATAATTTTATCAAACTTCAGAAGCATATTTTAATCAGATATTTAAATGACAACTAATCAAAGGTGATATTCAATCCCTGTGCCAGGCATAGCTCGATACAAATAATCTCATGAATATGGCATTCTTAAAAATAAAAGTGCAACTTACTCGTACTATGTACATTTTGTGAAAATGCAAACACAGTACACAGAGGAAAAGAGGGAAGTGTGGGTGGACTAGGAGGGTGGGGTGTGGGTAAGGGGTTGGCAAGTGGGACAGAAGGCATATGGGTGATGGTGGGTGGACATAGTGGGTGGGTTGATATGAGTGATAGTGGGATTTAGTCAAGAAAACAAAAACGAAAGAGCTAACTTAAAAAGAGTCCAACTAGAATTGATTCCATATAAACATTTAGGTTCCTAATAATTTATTACACATTAAATTTTTACTGGTGTTTGTTCTCATATCTCATACTGTGCAGTAGTTCATCAACAATGACATCAATATTAACTCTGTAATATACCTTCCACTGGTGACACACTGCCAACTAGTCGCGTATCTCGTAGACCTATTTGACCATCTTCATTTGCTAGCACAAGTATATGTCCATAATTTTTTCCTTCACCAAATTTACATGCATATATTGGTGGTTCCACTCCAGACTGGGGAACGTTTTCTTCAAGTTCGACAGCAATGCCCTCATATTCGTCATCACGGTAGCACTTGAAACTCCAGGCAAACAAGCTCTTCTGTGCTTTCTTTACTTGGCCAGGATCTGTAATGGAAATAATACAAATTAATATTGATATGCTTTGTATAAGGATTCCCAAAAGTAATACAAAATACATAATGTAATGGAGCATCCAGAATAATTGACACAGTAATTTCTGTACTGTTTTATAATATGTTCTGCTATGCAGGTGCCATTTCTACTTTTATACTGCTCAAACACTTCCTATATTGTCTTTATATATTTGTAATTCAAAACTAATTCAGAGGGGTGGGAAAATATGGTCAGGGACCCTTCTGCCTGAACTTTTCCCCCTTTGAACGACAGTTGGTCTTGTGCTTTACAAGAAATAAACACAGATTTGTATGGTTATGTGGAATGTGTGGGAAGTACGTGTACAGTACAATACTTACATGAACAAAACAAACAAAAAAGTGGAAGTGGTGAAAGTTTTTAAGATGCCAAATGTTTAAAGTGTTAAGATTATGCGAGACATGTACAATATGTAGTTTAATTTCACCAATAAACCAGGACAAACATGACCACTTAATATATGATATATATATAGAGGTAGCTCCTATTTATATCCACCTAAACACATTTATATATTTACCCGAGGACCACTACCTCCCTAGCTGTCTCAAAGGGGATAGGAAGCCAGCAATTTGTAAAGTCTAACCTACGCTTGAAACAATCCTGTGAACCCAGGTCTATTATGTGACCCAGTAATTTATTCCATAAATCAGCTTACATTAGACAAAAACTTCATCTTGGTGCTTGAAGTGGGCGATGGTACCGCCATAGCAATTTGAGGAACCTGGTCTTTCAAAACACTTACAATTCAAAGTAATTCATAAAACTTTCTAAGCACGAGAGTAGTTAATAAACTTCATATTATCTTGGGAATGCCCGTGAAGAAATGATTTATTTAGAACCCACGTTAAAATGCAAACATTAAAAGGACCATGTAGGAGACCATCAGAGTGTCGAAAACTTTATTTCATTCCCAATCAGAGACTTCACCCACAATTTCTATCATCATTTACCAAGGCAACATATAGAATCGAGGCGTCGTGTTGAGGGTACTCACAGAGGCCTCTAATGGTCCTATCACAGAGTTCACTAACAAGATGAGGCCGAGGTGCTCCAGGCATCGTCTCCAACATGTAAACAAACTCGGGGCATATTTCGCGGGAACCTTCACTTTCATTACTCAATGAAAACATTTTTTTAATAATGAATATACTCTATTTATTGTTACTTTATGAAAATTCTTTTTAATAAAATAATTCAATTTTATCATGTTAGTATATGTATTGAAATTTGATTTGAATAATTGAAGAATTAAAAGAAAAAGAGTTATTTAAGGGATTAAATATTTTCTTTAAAAAAGAAAGTATTGTGTATCTAAAAACACACACGAATTATATATACTATAATGTTATTATATTAAAAGCTATATGTATAGTATTTGTATTTAATAATTAATGTGGTTTAGCTCAGGTGGCGACTGGCTGTTACAATAAGAAATTCGACAAGAGCAAATGATACATTTAAAAATATATACGAATAATAAATATACTATTTTTTTTTGCATTCAAAGCCATATATACAATATGTATATATAATAAGTAATAAGTAGGGTAGACGCATGTGGGCGCTCACTTGTGTGAGCCGCCTCGCCCGCCCGCCGCCAGAGGTCTCTCCTCTACCCCGTCAACACTCGCCGTAAGTCAACCTCGACCTTCCTCTCCAATCTCTCACTAAAACACCCCATTTTGACACTAGTGGGGACGTATAACGCACTCTACAGGTTAGTTAAGGTCTCTGGGGTCGTGGAGGGTTGAAAGTTAGGGGAAATGTGGCGGTAGTGGGGAGATATTTGTGATAAATGAGGCGGTGATGGAGGGTGCACATGGTGGCTGGGTCGGTGTTGGGACGTGTTCCTCCCCGTCTAGGTATGCTCGTCGGGGCTGAGTTTCAGCTCCTGGCCTCTCGCTTCTTGACTAGTACATAAGAACAAAGGTAACTGTAGAAGGCCTATTGGCCCATACGAGGCAGTTCCTATCTATAACCACCCAATCCCACTCATACACTTGTCCAACCCGCGCTTGAAACAATCGAGGGACCCCACCACCACGTTACTCGGTAATTGGTTCCACAAATCAACAACCCTGTTACCGAACCAGTATTTAAGTCTTTCCTAAATCTAAACTCATCCATTTTATACCCCATTGTTTCGTGGTCTTGTGTTGATACGTTTAATACCCTATTAATCTCCCCTTTGTTATCCCCTAGTGATGTGCTGGAGTACAGGTTCCCGAGATTATTGGGTTATGTATATATATATGAGGGTTTTGTGGTACAGTTGGCTTGGTTCTCGACTGTCCCGGGAAGGACAGAAATGGTTGGGCACCTTTCCTTACCCTTAATACTGCTGTTCACTTAGCAGTAAATAGGTGCCAGCTGCTTCCTGGAGATGTGTGTAAGAAAAATGTATGTAGTAGGCATAAGAGAAAAAATAGATCTTATTGAAAAGTGGGGTCCCCAATAAAAATTATAAATGAAGCTGTGAATGTAGTTTGTCCACCACTTGCACCATATTCTTGTTTATTCATTGCTGACACTTCAATTTTATAGTGTGCTTGAGGTTCATTAGGGTACTTGGTTTACCACTGTCACTCGAGAATATGATCAAGGTGCAAAACTGCCTGTATGACTTGACTGAGTCCCCCATGTGATCGTATGCAGCCCATACTCTCGATTTGGCACGTCAAAATCTAACCTTACCCTAAATGCACGAATCCGAGCCACTCGCTCCATTGATGCATAGGAAATTTACTTTTTGCAAGCCGCTACTTTAATCAGTACGTTGAACTTGATATGTTGGTTTCCATAACATTGTTTCATTGACAGGACAGTTTGAACTTTCTCTGGAATAAGGTTTAAGCAATTTTGTTTTTCATTATATTACACATATGGCATACTGTTTCTCCAAAACATATGTTTAATGCAGTACTCCTCTCTTGTGCTGCACAATGTGCAATTATGACATGCCAGTGAATTTTTACTGAAGCCTTATAGCATTCATGTACAGTATTAGCCAACCTTGGGATGTACAATAGTTGATATATAGTTAACATGTTCTTCAGGTGAAGAGTGGCAAATTCTAAAATAGTATTCCTGATTGTTAAGCTGTTAAACACTTATTCATTCACACATTTCTTTATAGCATTGTTATACTGGTTTGGTGCTTTCTGACTATTACTATCTAAGATCACAAATTTATTTTGGGTGGTTATTCCTAAACCAACATCTCGTATAATCCAACCCAAATGAAATGGCAACATTTCATGTCATAACTTAATAAAGTCCAGGAGAGACTGAAACATCACCAATTTGATTTGTGTGGTTTGGGTTATTTTTGTTTTCCATTATTAACATCTGTATCTGAAAAACCGGTACAGTATATATCACCACCATAATTGTAGGATGTACTTGCCTAGTTGTGCTTGCTGGTGTTTAGCTTTGGCTTTTTGGTCCTGAACAATGTGGCATCAATCCCATACTTATTAGCTAATAAAGAAAAATGCCCTTTCCTCGTGTATGCCAGTATATAAGCAAGGGTTTTATTATTAATAATGCTAGTGCCAAATTCCTCTCTGCTTTCTCTTATAAGCTTGATCATCAGTAATTAGTCTTTTTGTCTTGATAGGCTTCTTCCCCACTATTGCCAGCAGACCATTTTTTCCCCTCGTAAATAATGAAATTTGGAAAAAATACATGAACTTTTGCCGTGTGTAGGATTTTAAAATTAGGATACTAATCTTGTTCTGGCCTTTGTTTTGACAATTTGTGTACACCCTAACTTGTTACTGTACACAGAACTTTTGTAATAAAAATATATTTGGGCATGCAGATTTAAGTAATTGTCAGGCATTCTACTAATGTCTACATGACCTCGATGTATTGCTCTTCACCTGCTCCATCACTGCATTTCATTCCCTCGCCATTTTTACTCTGTACACACATGGTATACTGTGCTCTACCCACCCTGCATACTCCAGCTGCCATCTCACTAGTTCACTTCCACAGCTTGTACTATTGAGCACTGCTCCATTCCATATCAAAGTTTCACTTCTCTGTCAGGGCTGTAAGTATAGTAGTACAGTATACTGTGCTAGTTTCATATAATAATAATAAAACCATAGAATGTATCTAGTTATACCAAGGTGTTGAGTACATGTTGCAGTGTAATGTGCTTCATGATTATTTATCCTTGGAAGAGAAAGTAGTTATCGGTATATTGACAGGATTTTTATATTTAATGCTGTCCTTACTGAGAACTAACACTTGTTTTAATGTTTCCTACAATTATAAAATGTTATTAACTCCTAAGCAGACAACTTTTGATCCTATGTGAAATATTAAATTGTGTTGCTTTTACCAAGGGCTCCTGTTAATTGCATTGCTTTTGTTTTAAACAGAAGATGCCGAGCGTCAGTGTGAAAGATGTCAGCCAGCAGGGCTTCACAAAGGCTTTTGCAGAATTTTTGAAAAAGTAAGCTATTATGTATTTTGGGGCATCCCAAGTATAGTTCCTTGTTTTAACTTTTCTCTTTAGTTTATGTGCAGCATTTTTAATGTCTCATTACATTAAATTAGAAGCTAGGTATAGGACAGTACTTTAGTTAGAGCCAAAATGAACTGCAATGTAGTCCTATAACCAGTTTTCTGTGTGGCAACTTGAGTGTTATATCATACTTAACTTATATCATACTAAACATGTATCAAAATTTGACTATTATTCATTTTTTGGCTTTCAGGTCTGGTAAGGTTAAGGTTCCAGACTGGGCTGATCTTGTGAAGGTGAGTTGGGTTACAAGTTAGTCTTTTTATATAATCAATGGTGTGAATCCTGTCCATTAACACTTGAACTGAGACATGCAACATTACATTTTGTTTGAAGTGCTTTTCCTATAGTCATTGTAATATATTGGTTTACTCCTACATTTGAAGGATATCATTTGCTTTTTAAGAATTCATTTATATTTGGATTGTTTAATGTGCATTTTATGTAAAAACATACATTTCATAAATTATGTAAATAAATTCTCTAGCTATGGTAAGCTTTCCACATTAAAACTGGGTAATTTGCTTCTATTGTTTAATGCATTTTCTCGAGTTTACTGCTGTAGTTTGATGTTGAGAAATCTTTGCATTATAGACTGCCAAATTCAAGGAGCTTGCCCCTTACGATGATGATTGGTTTTACACACGTGTTGCTGCAGTTGCACGGCATATCTACATGCGTTCCCCAGTTGGTGTAGGAGCTGTTCAGAAGATGTTTGGTGGTAAGTAAACCAGTTGTTCATGTTCTTAAATCACTTACAGCAGAATACCTTGTGTGAGAATGCCACTTTAAGGTTATTTTATTATAGGTACTGTACTAGGATCATCTTTGCTGCATGCAGCACTCCATCCTGATAAGTTGCTAGAGTGAACAGAGTAGCATTCTTGGTCCAAAAGTTGAAAATACCCAATTCAGTATAATGCAGGCTCAAACCTGCATTTTAATATACCAAATTAATTTAATGTCCCACAATTGTTTTTCAGCACGTCAGAGTCGTGGTACTGCCCCATCACACTTCTGCAAGAGCTCTGGTGCTGTTGCCCGTAAAGCCCTGCAAACACTGGAGACACTGAAGCTTGTGGAGAAGGCACCTAATGGTGGCCGCAGGCTGACTTCCCAGGGTCACAGGGATCTGGATCGTATTGCTGCCCAGATGAAGGTTGCTGCCAAGGCGAAGTCGGCGCCTATTGTAGTTACTACGCAATAAAAATAATTGACTTCATGAAGCCATTTCTTTGCATCCCATACAGATAGGAATATTTATATGTATTGGTGTATATTGGCAGCAGGTTTTTATTTGGATATGTTTCATTGAATATGCCTGCATATTCTGTTGAATATATAAATGTCACATTGATCAAAAAATCAAAACAGGTGTCAATGTTGTGGAGCGACTTATCCAAGATATATTGTTGTCTGGAAAGTGTTTGTTGGCATATCAACCTTCTGTACACAGTGATCCAGTCGTTGCATTTCTCTCCTTAAATGATCGCAAATTTAGTTTATTATATTAACAAGTAGAATACGTATTTCTAATAATATCTAACATAACTAGCCAGAAAATATTTAAGACATTGAAAAATACATGTCTGGAAGTTAAATCGACTTCATAGAACAATTCAAGTTCAAGTATGTTTATTGAGATAAGCAATAAATACATCTCAAAGGGATAGAGTAGCTTGGGCTATTTCTACCCCCCTCTACTTCAAGTCCCTCAAGGGGCGCACAAATTCAGTGAGTACAAATAGACATATAACAGTACAAGAATCCCATTTAACATTGCATACAGCAAGTACAGCATATAATTGTTACATTCTTGGGGCAAAATTCTTGTAGCTCCTAAGTATACTGTCTATTATACCATTATCACACATCCAAACAATTTGATGTGGTACACTATTTATTTCCTTATTTCTATATTTTTCAATAAGGTGACACTCTAATACATAATGTTCTAAGGTGTGGGCGTGCGGCATACTACATAATTTACACTCCTTATCTTTTTCACTGACATCAACACCGTATTGCCAGATATATTTATATCCTAGTCGTAATCTCATGTAAATTGAATCCTTCCAAGTAGACTTTCCTTTACCATAAGTGAAGGACGAATTTGTATTTATTATTGAATAATTCTTAAGTGTGTTACTACTGTCCACCATTGCCATTCTCTTTATCATTTCTTCACCCTCCTGAATCACCTTGAGTCTTGTTTTTATTTGTTTCAAGGTTAACTGACATACAACATCAACAAGAGTTTTTTCAGTGGCTCTCTTCGCTATGTCATCAACTACCTCATTCAACAGTATTCCCACATGTGAAGGGATCCACATGAATCTTACTTTATACCCAGTTTTTTCTAGTCTCTTAACATTCTCTCTACACTCTATCACAATATTCTGATATACTGGGCGTATGCTATTTAAAGACTCTAACGCTCCTCTGCTGTCAATAAAGAAGCAAGCATTTTTACCACATTTGACTACTTCCTGTAATCCTGCTAATACTCCTTGGAGTTCAGCCTGCGTTGAAGAGACATTGTCAGTTAAGCGGCGTCCAATAACAGTATCTACAGTGCCGATGTCAGTGTACTCCCTGATCAAGACTCCACATCCTGCCTTCCCATCCCTAGCTACTGACCCATCACAATATACATGTAGAGTGTTTTCCGTAGGCAGTTGTCTAATTATACAATCATATGTTGCCCTCAGCTCTCCTAATTCATACATATTTTTCTTATGCAAGGGAGTAATTACTACATCTACATTACAATCCTCCCATGGTGGTATAAATTTTCTCTTGGGCACAGCAACACACTCTGTAATAACATCATACTTTATAACATTATAACATAATTGTTGTTGTACAAAAGAACAACAGTTTCTGTTTTATATAAGACAGAAATTTCCATCTAACTGAATAATGTAGACCAATAAGAGGACGGAGGCATTGTATCGCCGATATTATTTGTGTGAGGCAACACCCACTGATGACGTCACAAGTCAGGTTGCCATCCCATGTTTCTGTAACACCCGTTACGTCCTGTAGTATTTAATTATCACTATATTAATACTTTTAAATACTTAACATTTCACTTTTTAGGTAGATTAAAGTTGAAACAGAATGTCATAAGCAAGGACGGTGTGCTGAATAAAGATAATTTATTAAGTGGATGGAGCCTTTAGCTGATCCCTTCCTGTGATTGGCTGTTGTGTGAATGTCAACAAAGAGTTTCTACCAATGATATGCCATTTATTATGCACCCCATACCATCTGTGGGCGGAGCTTGGAATCTCCAACCCGAGCACAACAACCCGCCTTATGGGTTGCTGTTTGGCTATTTATAGTGCGTTGGAAAAAAACTAGATGGCGTTAGTGGTATTTCGTGGGGTAATTTGTTATAAGTGTAATTTGATGTCAACAGATGGCGTAAGCTGTATCTTATGGCCACTATTGACCAGCCAGTTGATAGTGTTCTCTTCTGCCGACAGATGGCATCAGCTGTGTTATTATTACTTCCGAATTCCCTTTAAACACTGATCTACAAATCCCTTGGCTTATGATAAGGTTTTATACCATTTATGATAAGTATTAGATAGCTGGAGTTTCGCAATTACTTTTATTTATCAACTGTTGAGGATATCATCATATAACGTCTGGTTAGGACGTACTGCTCTCGATTGATGAAGATTAAGCCACCCAAGAGGTGGCACGGACATGAATAGCCCGTAAATACTGCTCTCATAATATTATTCAGGGGGCTGGGGGAACTATCAAGTGAAAGCGCCAAGCCATTACGACTATATAGCACTCGGAAGGGATAGGAAGGGATCCAAACTTATTGAAAAATACATGTCTGGAAGTTAAATTGACTTCATAGAACAATAGTGTTGGTCTATACTAATCGTTATTCGTTAGTATGCGTTCGCTACTTAAAACATTTACTGTACTGATGTAAAATCTCCCATGTCTCTTCGCACATGGAACACCGAACCTTACACACTCTCTGATATATTGTTTAATTAATAGAGATTCACTAATAAAGCTTATAATTGTATATGTTATCAAAAAGGCATAGATAAAGTCGTTCTTACGTTTTAGTCCCAGAGATTAGATATTAGTAAAGTTCATTTTATTCAGGAAAGTACATAAATAGTCGATTTACAAACATAATATTGGATTTATAGATAGAGCTAGTACATACAATTCCTAAAGCCACTAGTACGCATAGCGTTTCGGGCATATTATTGAGAGAGGAAAGATATTTATATTTAAAAAAAAAATTTTTTTTACCGACGCTTTCCCTATTGATGAGAACTACAACCTAATGAAGATAAATGTTAATTTTATGTAGATACTGTAATAAACGAAAGTTTTTAATGTCATCAGAGAAGCAGAAATATAGGCAAATTTTAAATCCCTTGTCATAAATATAACTGAAGTGAAAGCAAAGATATATGCATTTTGATAGTTACAAAGACAGCTCTTTAACACGGGTGGAACACGAACAAGGGGAACTTAGTACCCAAATGAGCCACAGAGATATTAGAAAGAATTTTTTCAGTGTCAGAGTAGTTAACAAATGGAATGTATTAAGCAGTGATGTGGTGGAGGCTGACTCCATACACAATTTCAAATGTAGATGTGATAGAGCCCAATAGGCTCAGGAACCTGTACACCTGTTGATGGACGGTTGAGAGTCGGGACCAAAAAACCAAAGCTCAACCCCTGCAAGCACAAATTAGGTGAGTACAACTAGGTGAATACAGCTGAGGGGCGGGACCAAACAGCTGAAGCTCAATTCCCTACGTATAACTAGGCGAGTCCATAGGAATTACCGTTTGTCCTGGCGCCATCTATGTTTTGACAGCAGTACTACTAATGTTCCCACGTTATGTGATCGCTATACGGGTGTTACGGTCAGTTGCTCTTCTATATATGTTTATGGACAACGTAGGTGATTTGAGGCAATTTGCGGCCAGAGTGAAATAGTATCCACGCGGTGAGTGATGGAGGAGGATATATATACTGCTGTGTACTCGACCAGCGGGTGAGAGGTAAGTTATATCGAACAATTATGGGGAATAGATGGGTTATTTTAAGCGTAGAATGTCAGGTAACCGGTAACTACATAGATGGGGTAGTTGTTTTTTTTAAGTCTTTATTTACTAAAGTGGAACATTACATTATGCCTTTAGCTGAACAAGTCTACTGGTGGGGGAAGTATATGGGTTTTATGAAAGTATTTTACCTAAATATTTTTATTTGGTTAATTAGTTCAGCCGTTACCAGGGAGGGTGTTCCTTTAATCTAAAAATTCTAGCCGGACAAAGTGATTACATAAAGAAATTGAATAGAACGAAGTAGTTTGCCAGGGTGCTAAACATTTAGTTTAGTTCACTTGCTATGCAGCCCATGCTTAAAGAAAGCAAGTTTATCATATTGAATTTACCGTAGTTTTACTGCATTTAATATACCGTTTTTACCCTATTTAATTATGTCGGGTAAAGGCCGGTCGTGGAAAGTTCCTAATATAGCAAGTTTTAAAGGAAAAGTTTGAGTTAACTTTAACGCTTAAGTTAGTGACCCATTAGCTTAGTCTATTGTGAGGAATGTTACTAGAATCTAACATTGCAAGTGCCATTTCTCTCCTTTTTGATAAACATGACTAGATACATGAATCGCATAGTTTTATTACTAAATGTTCAAGGATTAGGTTGCATAGTTGAGGAAATAGTGATAAGGTTTGTAATTTTGTGTACCTTGACTTCAGCAGAGATTTTGATAGTGGCGCAAAATTGATAGGGGCTCGGATCATTGGGAATGCTGACTGAAGTTGATTAGGTCATGGCTATACCAAAGGAAATTAGTATAAATGGGGTTAAGTTGGGAGAAGTTGTAAGTAGTGCCTAAAAGCTCTCCTTGGACCTCTGTTATTCGTAAGATTATGGTTTAGACTGCAATAGTTGCAGAATTGGCAAATAAAAAATACCGATAACCTATATAGTTTTGAAATGGTTAAGACTACCAGATGCAGTTTAATGCTGACAAGTGTAAGGTTTGGGGGCTAGGTAAAGATGATAGATGGTGTAGATTGTTAAGAGTATTAAATTTTTTGCAGGTGGTAAATTCTCCCAGAGCTGGCACTGCTCTCCAGCCTGGGATGTTGATTGGTTAGTCTTCAACTGCCTCCCAACATGGTAGCGAGGTCCTGAGCTGACA